TTAGAAGTAGAATATTCACATTCATTACAACTGTATTTAGGTTCAGATGATGAAGAATAATCATCTCCTGTAAACCCAAATTTGAGAGGATCTTCTTTATTGTTCATTATAACATCTAAAGATATCAAGTTAAAAAGAAAAACTAAAAGTATGATTTAATAATAATTTTGATTATAGTTATTTATATTCTACGTGTATTAGTCTTACAACAAAATTTACCTAGAAACTCGTTCTTTACATCTTCCTCCTTTATAATAACTGTACATGTATCCTCTACAGTTGAGGATGGAAGGATTTCTTGATGAATCTCTTTTTTAATCTTAAAATTCTCCATCTTTATTTCCTCTCACAAGTTTGCAGCCATTCTCTCTGCAAGAAGAAAATAAGATATATAATTAAATTATCAAACAATAATAAAATCTCTCCAACACATCTTTGAAGAGCATATGGCTGCCGCTATATATTTAGTTTTTACTCCAAATGTTTCCTAAGCCATAATGCTGTATTTGCAGCATATTCACATTTATTACAAGGATGTCTTTTTATTTCTTAATATCCCCAGACTTTTGTACTTTTACGAAATCATGAAGAATGGGTTGCTTATAAACATCTTGATATTTGAATATCTTGGCCAGTACTGTGGAAAGTGAATCGTATGCTTGAACCTGAAGCCAAGCCTGAGGGTGACATGGAAGTGTTTAAAAAATTAAGTTTTTGGTAGAGAACAAGTGTAATTGGATGATAGAATTTAGAAATGTTAAAAATAGATTTATTGGAGTTTTGGCTTGAATTTTAGCGGTACTCAANNNNCAATAAAAAAAGAATTTAACAACAAAAATCAAAATTATCATACATTGTCAAAAATATATGTTATAACATCAAAAATTAATCAGTTCACGGATGTAAAAATGATTCGCGTTTACTCTGAACATTAACTCTTAGATTGGATTGCTTTTGGAGCCGAATACTTTACATGTCACAAGGATATTTTCCTTTTCATGCTTTTTTCAATATGTTTCTTAAGAGAACTTTTAGTGGCCGCAGCAAACTCACATTTATCACATCATTCTAGTGATGGTTACGTTTTAACAATTAGTGTCATTTTTCCAACTAGTAGATCTTCTGGAACTCGTCCTTCTTGGATTGATTCGTTAACAAGACTAGTAAATAGTTTGATTCCTTTTTCACTAGATGCTTGTAGCATTGTTTGCTGTCGATGTGTTTTTTAAGAGTATGTGCTACAGTTGTTCAAAACTTACATTAGTTACAGAAATATCTCACTGTTTCATGTTTGCTTTCGCTGTGTTTCTTAAGGGAATATTCCGTGGTTGCAGAAAACTCACATTTATCACAGGGATATTTCACTCCTGTGTGATTATTCTTAATGTGTTCTGTAAAGAAAGTTGCTTTTGTTGCAAAATACTCGCATTTCTCCTTGACTCAGACAGCGGAGGATCCTCTTCCAGGTTCACTACTTCATCTAAACAATATATTTTTTATATAGAAAATCTATGACAATAATTATTATTTATCGCCTACAAAAATGCTATTGATAACTTTTTGGAATGGGCGAAGAAGTGGCGTATGAAATTTAATGTAGGAAAATGAAAAATAATGATTAATATGTTTTGTGAGATGACTTTGTTTCGTAGCAGAATACTCACATTTATCACATGAATATCTTACTCGTTCATGTTTTCTCTTCATGGTTATCTTAGATCCAACCAGCAGAGGATCCTCTTCATTGAGAACTATTTCACCTAAAACATATATTTTAGTTACTTAGCATTATGCAGCATTGAAAATATAAGAAAATATAAGTAATTATATCAAATTATTACTTTGAATCCCAATGTTTTCCATCTTGACATCTTCCCCCTGTACATATACAGTACATGTATCTTCTACAGTATGAGTAATTACTTTATCCTTGATATAAACCATCTTCTTCTTCAACTCACATTCTTCCACCTTTATTTCTTCTTCTTGTACATAAACAGTACATGTATCCTCTACAGTAGGAGTAATTACTTTATCCTTGATACAAACCATCTTCTTCTTCAACTCACACTCTTCCACCTTTATTCCTTCTTCTTGAAATTTACATTTATCTCAAGGATATTTCACTTCTTTGTGTTTACACTTAATACGAGTTTTCAGTAAACTTGTTGAAGTCGCAGCGTAATTACATCTATCACAAGGACTAGACGTAGTCAAAATTTTTAAATCAATTTTAATTTTATTATTAATTTTTGTTCATCAATTTGAAGATTTTGTTAATAAATAAGTAACTAATTCAGAGTAGCATAATCATAATTTTGTTTGTACGTAATTTTTGAAATAAACCTAGCTTTATTTGTTTCATTCTGTGTTAAAAATTAACAATTTCGGTCAATTTGCTTAAAATTTTCATGTTTTGCGCGAAGAATTTCATTTTGCGAAATAATTCCGGTTTTGCGCAAATTACGCAAAAAACTGCGCAGAACTCATTGCGCATCATGATCAAAATTTCGCAAAAAAATTGCGCAAATATTTCGCAAAAAATATTGTCATCTCATGGAAACCCTTGGCTGAAGTGCTCGGCGTTGCCCGTAGTTTTAACTTTAATTTAAAAAAAATTGATTTTTGAAAGAAAAAAGTTTAAAATTTGTTCTAACCTAACCTAACCTAACCACATAAAAAAGAATCCAAAACTTAGAACTGTAAAATATTGGACTTCAACATATTATTTATTACATTTTGATTAATACAAAGCTTAGAAAAATATTAAGCAACAAATTACATTTAATAACAAAGGCAAGAAAACTATTATGTGAGCGATATTAATAATTATTTTAATTATGCACAAGGATTAGAGAATTCATTAAAGAATTGATTTAATACAGTGATAACCAGAAAACTCTAAAAGAGGAAGACGACTTTTAGAATCAAGTTAAAACTTTACGAGTCTAATAAGCACCAGACACAGCAATTGTGTAGTGTAAACAGACGTATTAAGTATTTCACTAAGTTGGTGATTTAATAATACACTTTTCAGTATTGCTTCAATGTCGTCTTCCTATTACATTGTTCTCTGGTTATCACTGTATGTTATTCATGAGCCTCAGCTTTTTAAAACAAAATCTTAAGCAAAGTTTAAAAAGCTGGACAGACTTAATGCAGAATATAAAATTATAAATAAAATTACTTGGCTTACGGTTAAATTAGCATTAATGCTAACTTTTAGATCTTTAGACATTCCGAAGTTCAATGTTTTCAGACATTTCTTTTCTTCTAACTGTAGAAATTAATTAGCTGTGATTTAAATATGATTAAATTCGTGTTTAATAATATTTCAAGTTTGAAGGCGGGAATTTGTGAAGCAGAAAGAGATGTTGAACTAGCGAAAGCTGATTCAAGATGCAATAGAGAGGTGGTTTAAATCAATCTCTGCGGCACAAGTAAAGTAGTTCAACTATCCGTGAATGGTTGAAATACTTCTTAGCAATTAGAACTTTCCAAGTTTACAGTAAACAGTACTGAATATACATTATACAATATACATGTATGTTTATTGTGTATGTATATTGTATAAAATCATATTGGTAAGAAATGAACAACTCTGAATTGCTGCTGTCTGAGGGAATGTGGAATGTGGGTTGTGAGGATTGATCAGCCCTCAGGAAGAACGGCTAGGATGGTAGAGCCCCCAGGAAGAACGGCTAGGATGGTAGAGCGCCTTTTAACGCAGAGAAGTCCGAGGTTTGAATATCTGAGACGGTATTGATACTCTGGGTGCTCTGGAACCAATGCTTCTCCCTAAATTGAAAAAAAAAACAATGTAACAATATAATTAATGGGATTATAAGTGTAATTTCAAGTGACCCTCCTTGCAAGGATGGCAATGTCCAATTCACAACGGTACCCTTGAAAAACAGGTTTAAAATAGTGTAATTTTGCAATAATTCCTTTGTGTCCTGTATTCAAAATTTGCTCGCCACTTTGTGGAGAAACAACAATTTAAAAAATGGGTTTAAATATCATAAACATATAGATATCTAATTCATACTTGCAGTGTTTCGGATCCATATCATTTTGATTCGGATCCGGATCCGGATCCGCGGATCCGCATTCGTGATGATGGATCCGGATCCGGATCCTGATACGGATCCGGATCCGGATTCGAGGTAACTTTTGATTCTGTGAATCGGATTTTCCCTATTAAATGTTATGCAAGGTTATAATTTATAAACTATAGTAATCCTAAAGTTAAAAATGTCGTCATTATATATATTATATAAATGTAAACATTAAATTATTAAAGATAATTTTGAAAAATTTTCGTCATGTAAATAATACATTTACGAACCATTTTGATTTATTTATTCCATGGTTTTGGTTAATTTTTGGCGCTACCCGGATCCATATCAACGTTTCCTGATACGGATCCGGATCCGGATCCGACCAAATGATACGGATCCGACCGGATCCGGATCCGGATCCGAAACACTGCATACTTGGGTACAGTTGCGATATCAGTGTATATTGAATATTGCCATATTCGAATGGAGCATCACTTGAAATTACGCGTACAGTCCCTTTAGGAACTGGTTTATTGTAAATACAAAACAGTTTGTTTACAGTGATCACAGATCAGACTTCATGCCTTAACCAGGAAAATTTCAGCCTAAAAAAAGATGATCTTTGTAATTCTTATGAAAAAAAAAATCGGCTGTCACAGTGGCCTATACTCATACATACATAGTTAGAAATTGTTATTTAAGAATTTATTAAAGCATTTTCAATCACGGAGTTTTTTATTAGAATTTCTGATTTATGTAAAAAAATAAATTATGTCTTTGCCACAAACTTTAATTTTTTATTTCGTTTATCCATAACCCAATGTGGCGGACCTTAGATATTTCAAACTATATGATTTCTGTTAGATGGTAAAATCTAAATTTATAATATCAAAGATTTACACTATAGATGATTTTGATGATTTCAAACTATATGATTTCTGTTAGATGGTATAATCTAAATTTATAATATCAAAGATTTACACTATACATGATTTTGAGGCAAAGGCTCAATTTCTTTTCCTTTTCTCAACAACTCGTAAGTCAAAAGTTCAAAACTGTTTTCAAGTATAAATGAATTCATTAAAAATAATAAAATATTTACTTCGGCCGTAGAAACCCTCTTGGCACCCCTGCACCGAATGAGAAGGTTTTCGGAGCTCGGCAGGAGTTAGAGCGAACAGGGATCTTACTTTTCCGCGGACTTGAGCACGGAGAATTCTCTGAAACAATAATCGTGCCATTTTTATTTAAAATTTTTTTTAAATACTGTATTTTCCCATGTGAATATTTTTATTTTTGCTAGAAGGCATTCAGAATGTATAAATATATTTTCTAGAAAAATCGGGTAATTTTTTTAAACATACACCAATTGTTATACAGAAAGGTACAATTAATTAAAATATTTATTCATGTTTTTAGGATTTTACCTGAATCCTGAACAGATGCAGGCCTAGATTTATTATTACGAGGAGAACTATTTCCGTTTCCGTTTCCTAGATGATTTTCATGTTCACGTGAGGCACGCGACCTGGTTCGACTGGATCCTATGGAATCTTGCGGAGATTTCGCGGATTCTCTCGGGGACTGGGAGACTGATTCTCGAGATCCTAGATAGACGGATTCCCGGTTGGTGTTTAAAGATTCTCGACGTGCTTCTAAATTACCATGAAAGCCAAGCTTTGCTAGGGAAAGGCCGGAGAACTCCTGGGTTTGTGGAGGGGTGGCAGGAAGGGTAGGAAAAGGAAGATGAGGAGAAGAGTCTGATGTGGAAGGAAATGGAGCGGGTAGGGGATTAGGAGATATTGGAGATTCGACTACAGAAACCCTCTCTCCCATCCTTAAATTAATCAGTTTGAAAATGTTTATAAATAATAGAAACAAATAAGAATACCTTGCTAGAGAAATAGGTCGTTTAGCGGCAGAACTGCGGCGAAGGATGACTTCTTCTCCGTCAATCTCCATTTTGTTCTCAATTTTGTTTTGAATGTCATTCTCCATTTTATTTCCAATTTTCTTCTCTTCTGCTCCATTTTTCTCCTCCACTTCCATGCTGTCTCCGGTTCCATTTCTAACCGTTTCCTTGGTTTTGGAATTCTTTTTCCTTGGCTTCTTCTTGATCTGATCAAACCGGAAGTCTGGTGGGAAGTAGTGTGAAGATATAGCATGATCTCTCCTCTCCTCCGGACCCCAGAATTTCACATCACATGTTGGTAGAAAACACTTAAATAATTTTCAAAATTATTTTAAAAGGCTCATGAAGAAATCCTGATTTGAAATATAATTTGATTTGAAAACATCTGGTTCTATTTTAAGAATTTTTTACCCAAATACCTATAATCAATCATACAGTGAGAACCAGAAAACTTGGGAATAAAAACGACTTTTAGACTGACGCTACATCGTCTATACGCAATATCCCCCTTCTGAAATTTCAGCTGTTTATTTTTAAGACAATTTCTGGGCCGAGCGCCGCGGCTAGGACAGGATGAAGGGCCGGAATCTGCGGCAACAAGTCCATCTAGCAGCTAAAAACCACGTACTAGTATAGGTCGGATGTGTAGTATAGCGGATTTGGCGTAGGTCAGAAGTGGAGTATAGCGGATTTGCGTAAGTCGAGAAATTCACCATCGAACATAAGACACTTCAACTGTGCAGTGTGAACAAATTAACCCATTTTACTTAATAAAAGAGTTAATAAGTTACTATAGTAATACTATGTGTTATTTAAAAACACTAAAAACACTTCATTATTGGTTTAATGTCTTCCTATTACACAGTTTTCTAGTTCTCACTGAATAAAACTTTGATTGTGACAGTTTGAGCTAAAAATTTGGACAACTTCATGTTACGAAAAAAAACAAGATTTTGGAAAAAAATATTTTGTAAAGAAGACGTTTACCTGAAAAGATGGTTTTTTCTCTGCAAGTACAGAGAAAAAGGAATCATGGTTTTCCTGCAGATGAAGCTCAAGCAAATGATTACTAAAACATTGTTAATTGGATTAGATATCCCGTTTCTTTTGATGTTTCACTCAGTTTATTTCATTTATCCACATTCTACATATTTATGCAGGGGCATAAATGGGGAAAATGAGAAAATCAACATAGTGACAAGAATTAAAATTTAAATTCCCAATTTACAATTAAAATTTAATATCTACCTTGGTAAGGATTTTTTACAGACGGAGCAGCTGTGTTTATGAGCAGCATTGTAATGCTGTTCACACTGATAAAGCTGCTTAAACCGCTCCTGAAAACAGAGAAAGACTTGAAGATTATAAAGTACATCAACGACGAACGGTCCAAATCCACAAAAAAATTTATTTTAAGATCCAGATCCGGACATATAAGCGGATTTACATTTCCGAATCCAAGGTGGAAATATCAACAAAAAAAACTACGTAAAAAATATTTGATCTGCTTTCGCATCATAAATCTCAAGTATTGACCAAAAAGAAACCCAAAACATGAAAATTCAATTTCATAGATTTTTCAGTTTATTATTTTGGTAAAACCAAATAAAAGCAATGAAAAGGATCTGTGCTTCATTAAATGTTTTCTAAATTATCATACTTACAAAGCAATTGCAAGGGTGAACGGAATAATTGGCTAGTTATAAAAAGATTTTATTGTTTTTCAGAGAAGACAAGGTTAAAAAAAATATAATGAATGACAAAGTAGATAAAAGGGTTAACGTGAGTCATCCTAAATATTGGTTTAATACTTTCAAAACCCCTGTTTCCAGAAAAAAAAATTATTTAGAAACTAAGCTTTCTTGTTAAAATTTCAAAATGGCGGACTAACCTGACATCCAGGAACCTGGCAAGAGAACTCCTGGTATTCCTAGAATTAATCGTTTTGATCGTTTTTTTTAAACTTTTATTAAAACTTCCAAGATTTCAAAACAGTATTCTGTAAAAGTTTGTTTTTATTAACCTTAGCGTAGTAATATTATTATCCTACAGAAAAAAATGTAAAACGATTGTTATATCACGTTCGTTTCGAGATCGTTTTTGGATGGTTTTAGCTTTGTTTTCCCCTTTTTTTTGTCAGGGTAAAATTGTGATTAGTATAATTAAACAAAAAGTTTAGAACTAACACTTATGAAAATTGAAAACGTTTCCTCTCCCTTTTTCTTTTAAATGTCGTAGACGACCTTAGACTTTACATCTATACATAAATTTAGCTTTTCTGTCTGGGTGTCTGTTTGTTTGTGTCCAATAAACGTCAAAACGGCTGGACCGATCAGGCCCAAATTTTGTTTGGGTCCTTAACGTGGCCCAGGGAAGGTTTATGGCCAATCAGACTTTAAATATGTAATCTTAAAATATTTTTATCTTAAATTATTTAATTTAGTAAAATTTTGAAACTGCACTAAAAACATTTTGAAATCCACAAATAAAAAAAAATATACTGAACTAAGAGAAGATGCTTACAGATAAAGCCACAATTAAAAGTTGAAAAAGAAGATGGGCGCGTTAGATCAAATAAATATTAAAAGTAAAACCATACGGTTTAAAAACTTAAGGGACTAGAAAATTATAGTTTGAGGCAAAGACTCAATTCCTTTTACCTTGTGCAGGAACTCTTCAACATCCTCTACCGTCACAGATACTGGAGAATTCACCTAGTTTATCATTTTACTTCACATTTTACTAAAACCTCTCCCAGTTAGTAAATTTTTTAATGTTTTTAAAAAACCTCTATGAGGAAATACAAAATTTGTACAATAAGAAACAAAGAAGGAGCAATTGTGAAACTAGTTTTTAAATTTGGAAAAACCTTCAATTCCCACACGTTATTAATTTTTATTTGTTACTTAGGAAACATTTCATTCAAACAAAGCAGTAAGCTTGCAATTGACAAGTCTAATAGGTCGGAACTTTTAAATAGATGTCCAAACTAGATGTCAACCGCGGAGACTTGAAACATTCGTTTTTTTTGCGTGTCGTCAAATTAACCTAAATAAGACATGTTGGGCATCTTATTAATGTTTTTCTAACAGACGTATATAACCAAAAAATCAGAAATTTGACAATATTAGAGGTTGAGAAAAATACAACAATCAAAATTTGCAAAGAACGTAGATTTTAATTCTAAGATTATAATTCTGAACAGAATTTTCTTGATACAAAGAAACAAAAAAAGAAGTTTTCAGCAAATATTTTTAAAACTTTTTTCCGACTGAAAACAACAAAATGTTTTTATTTTCCAGTTTAAAATTTAAAATTCCAAAAAGGAAAAAATACTGAAGAAATCATGCCTTGCAGAGATGATCTCCGTCCTCAAAGAAAGGATCGTTAGGGCCTCGAACTAAAAAATTAAACACTTCAAAATTTTAAAATGAATTATTAAAATTATTTTCCCTTGATATATCTAAAAAATAGCTTGTAAAATACCTATTTCTTGACTTGAGGTTGGAATCAATAAATGTAAGATCTGTGGATCTTTTATAAACTACAGTGTGTTCAAGGTGTTCATACTTGAGATGTTCTCCAGCTCGTTCAACAGAGAAATCCTAGCTTCACTCCTACTAATCCTACAAATCTCTACAAATACATCAAAACTACCATTTCTCTTAATGTCCAAAATGTTCTATATAATCTGAGAGTTGAATGCAAAAACATTTTAAAGGCATATTTTATATCTTGAATTTGAGTATGATTTTATCATTAAAATGATGGAAAATAATTTTAAAGACTTTAAATAAGTTTCATAAATTCTTAAAAGTCTAGCCGATACTTAAACTATGTTTAAATGCCAAAAAGTCTAGCCGATACTTAAACTTTGTTTAAATGCCAAAAAGTCTAGCCACTTCCTTTTAAATAATTGGTCTTGTCTTTCAGACCACGATGGGTTAGATGCCTCCTTCTAACCTGCTTTTGTTTCTCTTTCTCCAGGTTATAAATCATCCGTGATATAAATATTCACATGAAAGCTATTTTCACAATGTTGCTCAACCTTTTTCTAACGGATGGTTTATATAATATATGTAGATTTGTAGATAATTGTGATATCTTAACAAAAAATAAATCTGTGCTCGTCTCAACGCACTGAACCAGGTGAATTATGAATATCCAAAGTTGAACTTGAAAAATATCCTAAATTCTCGGAACCACTTCAACAACTCTTATGCTCGTCGGGTGGCTCCGAGTTCCTGTTGATCTCTGAAGTCTTCACCTCTCCGCTGCCTCGCGGAGCTAAACCTTTCTGCATCCTTGGTCTCTAGGATGAAGATGTTCTCGCCTCCTCTCACCTAACAATCTTGACATCCTGAGCATTCGGTTGGTCATAATCAAACCTACCGTATACAAGACTCTGATCTCAACGAAGTCCGAATGTTCCTGTATCTCTGGACGCCTAATTTGAGTTCTCTATGTTTACAAGACTCCGATCTCAACGAAGTCCGAATGTTCCTGTATCTCTGGACGCCTAATTTGAGTTCTATACGTATACAAGACTCCGATCTCAACGGAGTCTGAGTGTTCCTGTATCTCTGGACGCTTGGTTTGAGTTCTATTCTACCTCTGATAGTATCCTAGAGACGCCTCCGTCTCTACGTATACTAGATCTCCGACGACCCTGACTTGGTTGTCCTGCTCCCCTCCGATACCTCCAACGGAAGAACCCTGAACAAGATTTGCAACATCCTGATACTGTATCTCTGATCTAACACTCCTCCCATATATCAAATAAAGGCACTAGTCTAGATCACGATCCTTATTTCAATGTGAGAAAGTTATTATTGAAAAAGGATATTTGAAAAGACACATGAAAACCTCAACTCAAATCTAAAAAGCTCAATATTAGTTCTCGTACCCGAGACTGCCATGCATTCTAAACGGACTAAAGACTACAAACCTCCGGACATATCAACATTGTATGGGAACTATTTTTTAAAATGGACAAAAGTTATTATTTAAGGCTAGCATTTTTATTGTTGTATGCAATTAATATAACCATGAACTGATTTATTGTGTTTTCAGTTCACGGTTGACCCCTATCTAAACTGCCTATACCTGAAATATAAATAAGATAAACAATCAGTGCTAATTGAGGTGAGCCGAAGAAAGAGTTTATGCTCACTCTTATGCCTGGACTCCAATAGGTTAAACGAGCACAAAAACAGGAAGAAGCATCTGAACTAACTAAACCTCGTGTTGATAAGAGTGAAGTAGGGGAAAGTAGTTCCTAGTTCAACTACTGCTGGCAGTTCATTAATTCCGAGCTATGGTCAAAGCTATTAACGTATTTTCAAGGTTGATTTTACATAACTACAAATGACACCCCGCATCTTACTTTACAGAGAAACCACAATTAAAAATATTTTTTTTTAGCAAAAAAACATGGATTTATCATTCATATGTAATCAGACTAAGGTTTAAAGCATAAACCTTTGTGAATTCTACAATTTAGTGTCACTTGAAATCAAGTATATTTATCTATTAATAACTTAAAGCCCAAATTCTCATCTAAGTGGCCTTAGAAAAACGAGTAACCCGACCCATCAGCACCACTAATAGAAATGAGATGTGAGCCTCAGGGTATTTGGCCTGTTAGGATTGTATACTGTTGAAGACGTATATTGTTCCTTTAACCTTACTACACTTTACCTTGGACCCGGAGTTTTGCGAGATAAGACCAGACATTGAAATCCGCCATACTTGATTCAAGATGTCGTCTTACTTCACTAAAGATGTCGTCTTACTTCATTAACATGTATTCACTAGTTTCTATAACTAATTCATGATCATTACGTAACCGTGGTTTATTATTCTATCACTTTTTGTCATAAAAACATCGTCATTTTTATGAATCACTGTAACGTATTTGTTATTTTTTATCTTTATCACAGATTGCTGAGGCGATACGATCAATAATCATGGATTCACTAGTTGAGCTTAGGCCTAGGATCGTAACCAATACGATCATGGATCGTCTCAATGGAAGGTTTCGGTATATTGCCGGCAATTTCACTGGAAATACAATCATTCATCTCAAAAATATTAACTACAACCCTTTTCAACTAATCAAATCAAATCAAATCAAATCAAATCAAATCAAATCATATCATATCATATCATTAAGTGATTTTGAGCTATTCTAACAATAGAAAAAACCTTACTCTTATCCAAAATGCGTAATGAGGTTTTTTGAAATTACAACGACAATCATTTAAGTTTTCAATTGACTAACCCAGTTTGAATTGAAATGTTAGAATAATCCTACTGATCCTGCCGGTAACACTCTACAAGAGTTGAGTTGATCAAAATGTTTTTACAATCAAAATCTGAATTTTAAATATAAAATATGGCTGATGAATGCCGCCTGCCTAGGATTTGGACTTGAACCAAGAATATTATTTTTCTGCTGTTTATTTTCCTGCTCTTCCTTCTGATTCTTATACTCCTAAATATTGTAATAAATAGTATTTTTGATTACTTAGTAGGAGTTACAGTAGTTAACATAATAATCTGTATTAGAAAATTCTTGTTATTTCTTATTTAAATAGAGACAGATTTATTGCAATTACGTATGAATAATATGAAAGATGGGTTCTTTGCTATTTTTTTAATGGCATCCAATTTTTTATTTGTTCAACTCTTATATTTTTTGGTATTTAGTCTTTTTTCGTTCTTTTACGATTTCTAAAGTTTTTTTTTAATAGATAATGAATGATTAAAGGACATTATCATTCCCCTTAAAAGTATAATAGATAAATAGGTTTACATTTTCATGAAAAGAACTGATTATTCGTCTAAAACTTAAAATCTTGAATCCCTTTTTCACTATTTTATTTTGCTGAATTCAAAGTTTTAAATATCTAAGGTATTCGATAAGATAAGAAAAGTAGAGTTTGTGGCAAGTAATCAGTTCCTATAAAGACTTCATATGTCAAGAATCTCATCTGAGAAAAAAAAAATTGCCTTTAAATTTGCAAATTTACGTTACCCCCCCCCCCCCTCCGCATCTTCAAAAATCTTTCTTAAATAGTTCTTAAATAAACACTATGCAGTGCACCCCAGAAATATATTGATAATAAACCTGCATATCCTCCGCCTTCAGCTCAATCCTAGTCGGATTACGACGCAACATGATCATTCAAATTAATTTCTTGATTAATCAATCAATCAATCGATTTCTTGTTGAGCAAATATATTTTTAACTTCCCTCAGGTGCAGCCTCGACATCAAGATCCATAAAATCATCAATATGCGCCTAAAAACATTCCCTTTCGTTAAGCTGATAAAAATAACAAATCTTGCCACATTTACAAATATAAATATTTCTACCGATTACAAAATTGAAGATTAAAATTGACAAATATATAATTTTGTTTAAACTGAAAGATATTTATATTTGTTTTCAACTGAAGTACGAAACAACGAATTTTCTGTGAAGTCCAGTTTTTTTTATAATGTTTTAAATAAGCCAAGAAGTCAAATTTGTAATAAAAATAATAAATTTGCTTAATGCAAGAAATGTGCATGACCTAAATCCGGATCTATTATTTTGCTCAGGGTGGATCCAGAATCCGGATCAATTATTTTGCTCAGGGTGCATCCAGGATCCGGATCTGGGTGAAAATGAAATGAATTCTAAGCACTGGCGAACATAAACTAACCTTCAGTTGCTCAACAACGTCACTTGATACAAACACATGAGTTTCATCTAAATCCTGAAAGAATTAATTTGAAGATTTTGCATTATATTAATGATAAAAAACTCTTCAGAAAAGACTGTAATCAATGTAAGTATCTATCTTGTAGTAATCTATGATTGTGTTTTGATTTTATGTTAATAGCTCGTGACCTTGACCGATTTGCTACAAATTTAGATTGGGAAATCGGTAAAAATACAGAAATGTTCATAGCGTGGTTTAAACGTTCTTAATTTAGTAGGTTGATTATTATAGAGAAAGCAGGGTTCCCATTCCCAAGCTAGTGATCCGATAAAGTGAAAAAATATCTTTCAAGGACGGAATTTTCAAGGATTAATCAGATTATGACTTAAACGGATTGTATCTAGAAAATAGAGTAGGATTGGTTCTATACCCGGATATTAGAGCAGGGTTGATGCTATACCTGGATACTAGAGCAGGGTTGGATGGATATTAGAGTAGGGATGGTTTTATCCCTGGTATACCTGGATATTTGAGTAGGGTTGGGTCATACCTGGATATAAGAGTAACGTTGGATATTTACCTGGATATTAGAGTAGGGTTGGTTTTATACCTGGATAATGAATCTTGAACCTAGTTTCAAAGTTTCGTCAAGATGAAGAAGAAACTGTTTCATCGCTGGATCGCATTCTACAAGAACTCCTAAACAAGACACTGTAAACTTCGTTCCGTTTGAAGTACCGAGCCGAATTTTAAGCAGCAAGATCAAGCTGTTCAGTACACTACACAATACACATACAGTCCGTTTAAGACAAAACGGGACGGTACACCAGACGATTAATCTCCGTCTAGGGATATTTAGGTAAAAAAATAAACCCAGTAAAAATAAAGAGATATTTTCAATTATAAATCCTTTTTTCAACTTTCTTAATATTAATATTTTCATACCTTTCGTAACATTCACCATTTTATCATCTGAAAATAATATATTTATATGTATATATGATTTTAATAGAATTAAACCACAAATAAAGATTATCATTACGAGGACTTTTTCCAAATAAATCACAAGAAATCACAAAATGGGAAATTTATTTTGAAATGGGTTTTAGCTAAGAATGTGAAAGGGACTGGTCACTTTATTTCAAATGGCCCTAAAAAGTATTCTGTCATCGTTGAGGAATATTACCCTTTTACCCTATTTCTGATAAAATAGGATAGTTAGAAAAGTTCAATTAAATTATAGTTTACCGTCTCTTTCAGTAAAATTTAAAGAATCATTGAATTAAAATAATTTTACAAGATAAATAAATGCCAAATTAATTATAAATCAAGGATATATATATATATATATAAATAATATACATTTTAACAAATTCATTAAAAATAACTGCATTACGGGGAAAAATATGTTCCGAGACTTTTGAGGACAAAATTTTTAAAAAATATTTTCAGAATTTAATTTAGATTTGATCATAAACATTTGGGGTAAAATAGCAAAAGAATTAAGATTATTTTGTGAAAAGCATTTCCCGGAAATCAACAGAAATCAATAATAGAATATTTTTCAAGTTTCGGCAACTAGAAAGTTACTGCTGTGGGGGATATCCAGGCTGCTGTGGATATCCTGGCTGCTGTGGATATCCAGGCTGTGGATATCCTTGAGGCGGGTAGGGATACTGGGGGTTGGGAGCATATCCTTGGTGTGGATATCCTTGTGGGTAATATCCCGGCTGTTGTGGGTAGGGCTGGATATTGGGTTGCATAGGATAACTGTACGGATTGTATCCACCTTAAGAACAAATATCATCAAAATCTTTCTTAAGAAATATTTTGTATCCAATTTAAAAATTATCTAATTTTTTAGATCAAAATAGACGCGGCCCATGGGTCCTCCATTATGCTTTGAAAAAAGTGGTTAATGCTGAAAATGATTTTACTAAAGATTTTTAAATTACTATAACAAAACTTGGCATCCGCCCCCTAAAATAACCATAATTCAATGGACAAAAATTTAAAGTATTAGCAAAAATCTTGATTGATTGATTGATATATTTCCTGGCATCGGCGTATATGGTGCATAAGGCATCGGCATTGCGCCCGGCTGTGTTGGATAGGGTAGTGGGCCAGGGGCCCCTGCATAGGGGTTAGGTGCCCCTTGAGGGGCAGAAGTGGGCACATTGGTTGGAGGAGGGGGGCGTGCTGGAGGCTCATTTTTCCTCGGAGGCCGGCTAGGGTCAGGAGCGGAGACGTTATGATGGCTGGGAGCTGCGGGAGGAGCATCCATACTCATACCAGCAAAACTATTCGTCATGTCCTACACGTAGTGTTATTAATCCATTTGGTTAGTTTTTTAAAAAAAAGTTTAATTAAACTTCTAATATTTTAAAACTATATTGTTAAAATTGAACTTTGCAATAATTTTATCCTAAAAAGAAAAAGATAGTTTTTGGATCGTTTTTCCATATATTTCTGTTAGGATCAAAATTTGACATAGTTCAAGAGAAGCAAATGCAGAGGGGGTCCCTGCCCCCCCCCCCAGTCCACTGCCCCGGGTTATTTTGGCTATATAAAGGTTTAGATTAACTTATGATTTATAAAAATATCGATACCTTCAGAAGCTCTTCTTTCTCCGTCTTCCTAGCAAATGTAAAGTCCGAAACCTTGTTCTGAAAAACATATTTTCATTGAAGAACAGATTTAGAAAAATATTTTCATTGAAGAACAGATTTAGAAAATTCGGATCCAGTTTTTAGTTTATATCCAGGGTTGGACTCAAACCCAGCATTGGGTTTGATTACCTGGAAAGTAACTATAAGCTGGTACACCCTGTATCCTACCTGGAAAGTAACTATAAGCTGGGACACCCTGTATCCTACCTGGAAAGTAACTATAAGCTGGGACACCCTGTATCCTACCTAGAAAGTAACTATAAGCTGGGACACCCTGAATCCTACCTAGAAAGTAAATATATGCTGGGACACCCTGTATCCTACCTGGAAAGTAACTAGAAGCTGGGACACCTTGTATCCTACCTGGAAAGTAACTATAAGCTGGGACACCCTGAATCCTACCTGGAAAGTAACCAAAAGCTGGGACACTCTGTTTCTTACCTGGAAAGTAACTTAAAGTTGGGACACCCTGTATCCTACCTGGAACCCTGTTTCTTACCTGGAAAGAAACTTAAAGTTGGGACACCCTGTTTCCTACCTGGAAAGTAACTAAAAGTTGAGACACCCTGTATCCTACCTGGAAAGTAACTAAAACTTTAGACACCCTGTATATCCTACCTGGAAAGTAACTAAAAGCTGGGACAACCTGTATCCTATCCTACCTGGAAAGTAACTAAAAGCTGGGACAACCTGTATCCTACCTGGAAAGTAACTAAAAGCTGGGACACCCTGTTTCCTACCTGGAAAGTAACTAAAAGCTGGGACACCCTGTATCATACCTGGAAAGTAACCAAAAGCTGGGTAAGATCGTTGTAGAACTTTGTCCCCTCCTCCAAATTTCCCTTCAACTCCATATACGCATCATGAGCCTAAGATTAATTATTTATAAATACTAGGAAGTTAGGGGAATCTACTTTACCAAGGGTTCCCAAAACCAATTTTGCCTACAAAACATTCAGAGTTTACCGGGATTTGTTTTGATGGAAAATTTGGTAAACATTTAAATTTCCCGAAGTATCTAGGCTCAATGTATCAGATTTATAAGAATATTTCGTTTGCAGAAGATTTCAAAACAAACGAGAAAAAACTTAGCTGAAAATATTTTTTTTAAATTATCTCCCCTTCCTACGCTGGGATTTCTCTTTACACCTATGCTAATTCCAATACCAGGTAAAAGATTGTTATAATTATAAAATAATAAAAAATAATAATTTGATAAATTAAAAAAAATGCACATCTCAGAGAAAGTAAGATTTGTAATTAAAGGCTAATAATAAACATTAAACAAACAAAAATATCATTTAGTTTAAATATCTACTGGTGAAACCCTTAATAACGAATACATCGAAAGAATTCATAAAATGTCGTATTCTTCACTTTCTGATAATGGAATGTTGCAAATATTTAGTTTTTTAATTTAATGATTATATGGAACTCTTTAAAACTGTTCCCGCATATTCATGGCTATTTATTTATTTTCGCAAATACTGAAATTTACGTAATATATAGTATAAAACTTATTGTCAAGACGACATTTGATAAATGCTTCCGATGTATTATTTTTCACCTGTGCTAAGGATTTAAGAGCATTTTCTCTTTCACTTCCCGACCCTCCCCTCTCCTGAAAAAAAAACAGTACAGTACAACACTACACAGTACACAGGTACATTACATAAAATGAGGTAAATATTTTTTTGGTACCTTGTATGAAACTAAGAAAGTTTATGGCCAATTAAAATTGAAAAATGTTGTCAAAAAAGTCGAATTTTTCTTTTTGAAAATCTATAAAAAAAAATCTGAAAAGTTAGGAAAATTATTAATTTTAGATAAAAAATGGCGGGTTGCAAACAACATTTAAAGCTAAAATTGCTTTTTAGAAAAGAAACTTGAAATTTTCAAATAATTTTGACAGGAAAAAGTCTTTAAAAAAATATTCAATCTCAAAAACATACTTCTAACTTGAAGAAAAAAATCCTTAGAAATGAGCGAATGAATGAATAAATAAATATGAGTGAAATAAATGATTAAATAAATAAAAAAAGATAAGTACCTGAATGAAAGGTTGATAAAGATCCTGTATTTCTGCAATCAGACGTTCTTGTGAACTGATACTTTCCGATACCTAGACAAAACAATCTGTTAACATCAGAATACTCAATTATTGATAAGTAAATTAAACTTAGAAACGCCCCCTGGGGTTGGAAAAAATAAAATTGGTATTATAACATATATACACCCCTGTTGTTAAATATATTTAAGAATTTGAAAGACGACACCCACCTGGGCTTGAAGAGAGCTAAACGCCCGGTCTAGATGTTGAGTGGATAAAACCGGTTCATTCAAGTTTCCACTAGCAGACGCAGACAGGAATACAGTCTAAACAACAATCATTCAATCAACCAATAAAACAATAAAACAATCAATTAATCAGTTAATCAGTTAACTAATTAATTAAGTGGATATATCCGGTTAATTCAAGTTCTCCCCAGCAGAGACAGGCACGAATACACTTTCTATTAGTCAATCAATCAAGCAATTAAACAATAAAATAAAAAAAATTTCCAGTCACACCCAATTAAATTAGATCAGATCAAATAATGTCAAATATTAGCAAATAATAAAAAATCCTATCAGTGTTGAAAACTTTAGAACAGTGGATATCCAGATCAATTGTTGATCTTCTCTTTTTGTTTCCGGAAGTTTCTCGAATTTAACCTAAGTGGTGTATGAAGAGTCCCGAACAGCCAATCCAAAGCCTGGAAATTCTCATTACTCAGTTAACTCTCAAGAGAGCGGAAAACGCAGATATTAAGTGTCCACAGAAGATATTTAGATCTAGCGAAACTTTTAAGTTGGTTTTTATATAAGATGACTTGGGCATTTCTGCTTCAGAAACAACAATAGCTTGAAAAACGACGATATTTTCCACATCAATACTCTGATAATGGTACCGTTGTGAATCAGGCATGCCATTTTTTTAAATGGACTGTAAGCTTAATTGCAAGAGACCCCAAGTGCAAAGATGGCGATGCCCGATGTACAACGGTACCCTTAAAACCTTTGTCGGATGAGTCTGAATTAAATATCCATGTTTTAGTTTCTTTGATCTCTTTATTTAATTTGCAGGTTCTCTTAGAAAGTGACTTTCCTTGTGTATAAGAAGCAATGGAGAAATAATATAGGTTTCACTTTTCCAGTCAAAAAAACAACTGTATCTTCCACATTATTGATCTGATAAGGATTTCAAGGGTACACTTGTAAATCTTTACAGGTAGGGTCAATTGAAATTACGCTCACAGTCCCTTTTCAGTGGTTGGTTACAGTTCGTTTAATATTAATAACCTTCATATCTACTGTAGTGTTCCTCAGTTCTGAATCAATTACAGCTCGTTCAGCTTTCAAGGTTTCAACAGACTCCATCAAACTTTTCAATCTGAAGAGATGAAAATTAAAAGAATTAAAAAAATAATAATGATTGCAGCAGCAGCAATATCAATGACAAAAGTAGCAACAATAGAGCATCATTTATTCAATACTGGCAAACACAACAACGGCTACGAGAATAACAACAATGACAAGGATAGCACTTTAACTATAACAAAATAACGGCGAAATAAGAAATAACAACAAAAATAGTACAATAATAATTTCAAAAATGATACGGCCATGAGCATAATAATACGAATAAAAGAAATAGTAATGATGGTAATAATTATAATAATGATATCTAATAGATTGACCTGCCGGCTGCTGACCCTCCTGCACCAGCTGCTCCCTGAGGAATAGAAGAGTTCATCGCTGCTTCCCCTCCTGCCAAACTTCTAAACATGAGGAATATTTACATGTTATTTCAAATGACCTTCATTTTCTAAAGTTAAACGTTTTTGTTGTTCCCTCTTTTCAACTCTATTGAACAAAAATTTAAACACAACAAGAAAATGTGTCTTAAGATGAATTGCCTGAAAATACTAAAAGTACAAAAACCTTCAAAAAAATCACTTTACGTTAACTGATATAACGTTTACTAACGCTTATCACCATTCACCTCTGATATAAGGAAGGTTGTTTAGACGTTTACTGACCTTGAAAAAACGTTTTCCGATGCTGATTTAACGTTTACTGATCTTAATTTAACGTTTACTTATCTTGAAGTAATGTTTGCTAATCTTGATTTAACGTTTAATAATCTTGATAAACGTTTACAATTGTTGATTCAACGCAGTGCTTGGAATCTATTTGATTTGATTTTGATGAGGATCCGGATCCGGATACTGGATCCGCACTAGAAAAAAATGGATCCGGATCCCGATCATTTCTTTAAGATTTACTGAATTTTTATTTACAAAAAATAATTTTAAAAATTTTTGTTTTATTTTTTTTTCGCTTATTTTTATCCTAAAACTTTATGCACTATTCAGAAATGAGGAAATTTTTATAATCTCTTATTTTTTCAAAAGTTCAGATTTGGGTTTTAGGAGTACAAAAGGTTTTTTTTTTTGCAGTTTTTGGTTGATATTATACCCCTTGAATCCGGATCCGGATCCAGAAAGCCAAAATCTTGCGGATCCTAAGCACTGATTCGACGTTTACAAATCTTGGTTTAATGTTTACTAATCTTGATAAAACGTTTCCGGTTCATGATTTAACGTTTGCGTGTAAGAATCTTTGCTTAACATTTACTGATCTTGATAAAACGTTTTAAACTCTTGATTTAACTTTTTCAATTCTTGATTAACCTTTTAAATTCTAGATTCGATGTTTTCAATTCTAGATTCAAAGTTTTCAAGTCTTGATTCGACGTTTACTAATCTTGATAAAACGTTTTCAATTCATGAATAAATGTTTACGAATCTTGGTTTAACATTTACTGGTCTTGATAAAACGATTTAAACTCTTGATTTAATGTTTTCAATTCTTGATTCAACATTTACGAATCTTGTTTTTACGTTTACTTATTTTGATAAACGTTTTAAATTCATGATTAACGTTTACAAATTTACTAACCTTGATTTAACGTGTAATTATCTTGATATTACGTTTAATAATCTTAATGTAACGTTTACTAAACTTGATTTAACGCTTACTTAACTTGATTTAACGCTTACAAAGCTTGATTTAGCCTTTAGTTTTCTTGATATTACACTTTCAAATAATTATCTAACGCTTACAAATTTTGATTTAACATTTACTAATCTTGATATAACGTTTAATAATCTTACTGATCTTAATAAAACGTTTTCAGTTATTGATTCAACCGTTTCCTAATCTTGATTTTACTAACTTTTTTGATTCAACATTTACTTATCTTGATCTATCTTTTACTAACCTTAATTTAACGTTTAATAATCTTGGCATTATGCTTACTAATTTTGATTTAACGTTTACTAATCTTGATATAACGTTTAATAATCTTACTGATCTTAGTAAAACGTTTTCACTTATTGATTCAACCATTTCCTAATCTTAATTTTACTAACTTTTTTGATTCAACGTTTACCCATCCTGATCTAATCTTTACTAACCTTAATTTAACGTTTAATAATCTAGATATTATGCTTACTAATTTTGATTTAACGTTTACAAATCTCGATGACACATTTTCAAATATTGATTTAACGTTTACTAATCTCAAGAAAACGTTTTAAACTCTTGATTTAATGCTTAATTATCTTGATATTACGCTTTTAAAACTTGACTTTACGTTATTACGTTAATTGATCTTGGTTCCATATTAAATAATAATATCAATAGTTTTAAAATCGTATCTATTGAAATATGATTGATGCCAAGACCAACCAACTTCTACATTCTTTTTTAAATTTATAATTTCTTTTTAATTCATGAAATTGTAAAATCTTTAATTTTCTAAATTAATTAACCGCGCCATTAATATATAATGTAATTATGTGTATTTTTGTGCGTCTTTAATTTGTTTTAATATTAACAATATAATTTGATAATAATAGGACAACAGGGGGGCTCTGTGAAACCAGCTTGAAGATATCTGACACTGCAGTGATTTTAATTATATTTTTTTATTTTAAATATTGTTAATTTTGTTATAATGTTTACTGCAGAAAAATATATGATTTAATTTGATTTGATTTATGTAATATTTACAAAATATCTAAACTTGCCTTATTCCCGACAAGTGGGCATTGAATTTCTCTTTAACCACTGCATCCGCCTATAGAATCAAAGTTAATCAAAGTTAATCAAAGTGTAATTTAACACCATTTTTTAAATATAAATTTTACTGCATGATTAGACGGTCAAATTGTGAAGCGACTGTAAACTAAATATTGCTTCAACAACTTTTAGAGTACACTAAAAAGTTCATATTTTCTTCCAAAAGCTTCAGAAAAACAAATGTTTGATTTAAAAATTCAAATTTCCGAATTTACTGAATTTTCTGGGTCGCTGAACTTCAAATTTGAATCCCCGATTCAAATTTTTTTCCATAATCTTCAACTTTGAACCGGTGGTTAAAATTTGAAACTGCAATTGGTAATTCAGCGAAGAAGTTTAAATTCATTAAATTAATTAAATTCGGGCCCAGCTCGACCTGCTGTGCTGTTGTTATTATAGATGAGTATTTGTTTGCGTTTGTTGTAAAAGTTACGGTCAGTTTCTCAGACGGGGTTCTGTTCCATTTATCCTGTAAACAAAAAATTACTTTTTTAAATGTTCAAAAAATATTTTCAAAAAATCTATTTATTACTATTTATTATAACCTTATATTGTTCCCGGAGTTTATCATCGCTCTCCTTCTCCTCCCGGAGCAGTCTCTGGGACTCCTGGAGCAGGTCCGTGTTCCTCTGGAGCATCTCCGGCAGCTCCTTCATCAGTTTCTCCAGCAGCTCTACACCACCAGCCTAATAAATTATTATCAAGAAAATTGTTCTCAAATATAATATTTTGAATTAACCGCATCTCAGGATCATATATATTTTTTTGAAAAATCATGGCCCCCTCTCCCCGGAGCGAAACACTCCCCCCCCTTCGAAGTTTTTCTCATCTTTTTGTCACTTTATGCCCAAATATCATTTTTTTGTCCTAGAAATTATTTCTCTTCCGTAAATTAGGAAAACAAAAACCTTTTTTGTATTTCTAATTTACTATGATCAAAAAATACATTTTTCAAGAAAATTGTAAATACCTGAATAACTGCCGCAGATTTCTCCTGAATACTGGCGGGTACTCCCCCGCCGGTTGTATCCTCCAGAGCGGCGGGGAGGTTCATCGAGGACAGAAGCTCGTTGAGGAGGTTAGTTCCTTCCTTCAACCGGTTAACCTCCTTTCCAACCAACTCCTGACGACGTACATCAAACGCAGCCATTGCCTAAAATTTTAATCATTTAGTGACTGTCCAGGTAACTTCCAATGACTCCATGTTTGTAGAATGGTATGTCTGATTAACAACATTGTAAAATAGAATGTTTGATTAACAACTTTGTAGAATGGTATGTTTGATTAACAACATTGTAGAATGGCATGTCTGATTAACAACATTGTAGAATGGCATGGTTGATTAACAACATTGTAGAATGGCATGTCTGATTAACAACATTGTATAATGGCATGCCTGATTAACAACATTGAAGAATGGTATGTCTGATTAACAACATTGTAGAATGGCATGTCTGATTTAACAGTGTAATATAGATCTTCGTCAGAACAACAATGAAAGAACTAGTTTAGTATTTCAGAAACAGTGTTCAATTCTGACAATTTCCTTTCATTTCTCTGTCACATAAAATTAAAGCTTAATATTATATTGAGCAATCACGATTGAAATAAATAATTTTCAGCTAAAACAAGGATGTCTCATTCATATTCCATCAGGTTTTAAGAACAATGTTCTGAATCAGACATAGCAAAGAGTCACAAAAATAACTTTCAACAGTCGTATATTAGTCGAATGACATAAAAAGATTTTTTTGAAGACTTTTAAAAACATTTTTTAAACATTTATACCTGATGGATATGGACCGGCATTAGTTTAGCGAAAAGGTCTGGATCTGCCGGGGAAAACCGTTCAGGAACAGGAGTAGGTTTAACAACAGGTGCTCGACCTAGATACAGTGGTCAGCATACATATAAATACAGGTGCTCGACCTAGATACAGTGGTCAGTATATATATCAATACAGGTGCTCGACCTAGATACAGTGGTCTGCATATATATCAATACAGGTGCAGTGCCTGACCTAGATGCAGTGGTCAGCATTATACCATTACCAACAAGCTTGGGAACCTAGCGTTGCCCAGGTTACTTATAGTTACTCCCGCCGTTTACTCGCACTTGGTCATAAGTTACGATTTCAGCCATTTTTCACTTTAAAAGCCGATTTACTCAACTTAGAATCTCAAAACAAGGCTAAGGACATTACCGTGGCTCTCCCAACTTCCCAAATCAATATTTGAGGCAAATCGGCAAATCGGTTCCAAAGTGATGATCGGACAAACAAACAAAGCAACAAAGATTACAACTTACATCATTATAGTACAATTTCAGTACCAGTGTCCACTCTATATTATGTAGCATTAAAGTACCGTATACTGTATTGAAATATATGTCAACCTCTGTATTGTATTAAAGTACCGTATACTATATTGAAATAAATGTCAACCTCTGTATTGTATTAAAGTACCGTATACTGTATTGTATCACCATTTCAGGAAACGATTTTGTATTAATATATTATAGAGGCTGTGCACAGTGTGAGCAATAATTTCAAGTCACTCTTATGCAGTAGATGGCAATGCCTGATTTACAAGGGTGCTCTTAAAACCTTTATCTGATCAATACTATGGTAAATATTGTAAATATTCTTTGTTTAAACGTGTTTAATTCCAAAAATTCCTATATATTTTCCTGCAGTAGAAATGAAATCATTTGGGTAGAGAAACTCAAATTGAAAAGTATTAGTTTCAAAATTATGACCATTGAAATCTAATCCAAACTTGATAAAAAAAAACACCTTTTAATGTTACCGTTGTGCATCGGACATTGCCATCTAGGTATGGAAGGTCACATGAAATTACACTATAAGTCCCTCAAAAACTGTGTCCTCTTCATCTTACCAATAGCCGTGAGCTGTTTCACATCTGGAATTCTCTCATGATAGATAAAATCATTATCCTTCTTAGCTTCAGTTAGAGCTCGCTCTGCTCGTCTATTCCAGTCTGCACAACCACCTTAATAACAACAGTATTATTATTATTGTTATTATTACTCTCATTGATGGAGTTCATTAAGTTATTTAAAAAATAATGTGCCACGATCCTCCCAAGTTTAAAACATTTACCCCCCTCCCGTCCCGTCCTGTCCGCTTCCGTCCCGCTCCGTTCCCTCCCCTCCTTGTTCTCCCCTCCCTTTCTCAAAGAATTAATATTTTTATCTGAAAATAAGTAAGTTCCTATTTTGAGTTGTCTTGACATAAACTAGACAAAATGAAACTTTCTTCACGATATAAAAAGATAACTTCCCCATAATACCTAAGAAAAGGGTTTAGAGCATGAAACTCTTTCAATGGCATCGCTAAAAATACCTAGATTAGGTTTTCCACATCTAGTAGCAGCAGCAGTGAAGAGTTCTATAGCATACTGTAAACGGGATATTTCTTCTCCAATAGCCTTAAAATACATTTTTTATTCAGACTTTTCCTTCAGATTCACATTAACCATAAAGTCTAACATTAAAACGACCAAGCTAGTTTAACGCTTGATTCACTTCTAAAAGAGGTTTCAGAAAGAATGGCAGCCCAGGGTGCCAGCGTGCACCGGTTCTAGCTTTTTTTTGGGTGGAAGTGAATCAAGCACTTGTTAGCTGTGTTGTGCGTCCTGAACTTTTTTGAATTTTGGAACTTATAAGCCTAGTTTTGTAAGGAGTTCTCAGACCTCCCTCAAATTAAATACTGAGTAAATCTAGTGATGAATTAGACACTGTGATCTAGTTAAACAGACTATAGTGTAAAATGTCGGATGGTGTGTAAAATGGCGGAAAATGTTTAAAATGGCTGATATCATATAGACAAACACTTGTGAACAGTGACAGCAATTATTGCTGATTATTGCTGATTATTTTATTTTAGAATAGTGACATAGACACTTTTAACTTTTTATTGTCGACTTCTTAGCAAAGTGACATATAGACACTTTTAAATCTTTTTATTTCGGTTTCTTAGAAGTGACATATAGACACTTAGGAATCTTTTATTGCTGACTTCTTGAGAAGTGATATATAGACACTTACAGTAACTTTAAAACCGATTTACTTATTTTGCCGAGATACTGCTGATCTCTGTCTAGGTTCGAAGTGTGGCGGAGATCCGAGTAGATTCTCCGTCCTTAGTTCCGAGTTTCCTAGACGACTAGTACCAGATTGCTGCCCTGACTTTTGTATCGGGGATTTGTGAGACACCCTCAGATTCAGGACAGGGTGTACCAAAACTTAATAGAGAATAATTAACCCTTGCAAATTTCTCCTATCTAAATTTGTCTTAATGGTACACCCTCAGAGTAAATAGTTGAACCGGACTTCATTAATATAACTTTTCCATGCATAGTATTCGGTGAACTTTTATCTCCGGATAACTTTTTACCGAGTGGTCTGTCTGGGTGTTTTTATCTCCGGATAGCTTTACTCAGCCAGATCAATTTTAAACTGAGCAAGTGACAAATAAATTGTACACTAAAAGAAGGCTTAAAAAATAGAAAAAAATAGAAAAAAAAACAAAGAAAAGAAAAATATCCTTTTAAAAAAAATATTAAAGTGAAAAGATATAGAAAATAATAAAGATAGAAAAAAAGAAAAAAAAAAGAATTAGTACAGAAAGCCCCCTCAGTATTTTAACCCTGTGTACTCATTCAATTGTAAACTCCGCGAGGAGTCCCCGCTGAAACACTTGCTAGTTTCGTAGGGGTTTTTATATTTGTTTAATTATTAATCTTGCTATCCAATTCTGATCACTGTGGTCAGTAAATATCCAAGATATGGCTCCGAAAAAATATCCCTGCCTGGTCTGCGATATCGAGATTAACGGGAAAACTGGCTCAGTTGAGTGCAGTTTCTGCGAGAAATGGGTACATCCTAAATGCGGAAATATATCTAAAGCCCATCTGGATATACTCCTATCCAACAGTACTACCTACTGGACCTGTGAACCCTGCCATGCAGTCGCAGGAAAAATTAAGAAGGAAATCAGACATCTTCAGAACTCTCAGGAACAAATGAGAAAAGAAATGGCTACAAGGATGGATTCTCTCCAGGAAGAACAGGATACACAGAAAACTCGGATGGACAGTTTCGAAAAACAGTTAGGTTTGCTCAAAAATGACAAAGATAATAATGCTGCGGTGTATAAGGAGCTGAGAGAACGCGAGAATAGAAGAGAAAATTTGGTAATTCACCAAATTCCGGAAGCTTCCGGTTCTATGAGAGGCGGAGACAGACGAGAACACGATGCAAGTCGAGCAATGGAACTTTTCCAGTTTATAGGCTGCCCCGTGAGAAGGGAGGAGATAAAGTTCATCTACAGACCCGGAGAAATCCCTGAATCAGGTCGTCCTCGTCCTGTTATTCTAAGCTTAATGGATGAATCGATCAAGAAACGGATATTATCAAATACAAGGAAACTTGCAAATTCAAAGTTTGAACGAGTAAGTATTATACCTGACCTCACCCCTCAACAGAGAAAGGAAGAAGAAGAACAACGTAAGGAAGTTGACAAACTAAACAGTGAACTGACTCATGATGAATCTTTAAACTGGGAATGGGTGCTGGTTGGCCCAAGGGGAAGGAGAAGGCTCATCAAAAGGAAAAGAATACATGGAGGAGAAGGAGAAAATCACTGGGGAGAGAGAGAAAATTGGAGAGGAAGAGGAGCAAATTGGAGGGGAGGGNCCAGGGGGGGGGCAAAATTTCCGCGCTTCGCGCGAAATCTTCCCCCCCCCCCTGGCTAAAATCCTGTGTACGAGCCTGAAGCAACGTCACTATAATCTGTACCAAGCTGACCGAACAGAAGCTCACTTTGACCAATGTAAAAAAACTGAAAAGGCCTGCAAAAAATCCGTTAGATCAGCAAAACGAAAATTTGAGCAGAACATTGCTAAGAACGGGAATAAACGACCTTTCAACTCCTATATAAAGAGTAAAACCGCATCTAAAGTCAATATTGGTCCTTTAAAAGTGGGAAATGAGTTGGTAAGCGACAACTTAGGTATGGCGTCTATCCTAAACAATACTTTTAGTACAGTTTTTACAGTAGAAGATCAGTCCAATGTCCCTCATTGTCCCCCATTGACCCAACAGTTTAGTGTAACTGAAGTGCATTTTGATCTAGAGTCTATTAAAAAGAAAATCATGAAACTTAAATGCAGCTCAAGCTCGGGTCCAGATAATATATCGTCCAGATTTCTTCAAAACCATGTCGATAGCCTAGTTAGCCCCCTGTCTATCATATTTTCTAAATCTTTGGAGTCTGGTATTGTCCCGCAAGACTGGCGGGATGCCAATGTAACGCCAATTTTCAATACCATGCAAAATCATGGAATCAATTATGAAAGATGAAATCATTGATTATCTTCTCCGACATCAACTAATCAATCCCTCCCAACATGGTTTCATGCCGAATAAATCCTGTGCCACTAATTTGCTGGAATTTTTGGAGAAAATAACTGATTTATTTGACAACAGTTATCCTGTAGATGTCGTCTTCCTGGATTTCAGTAAAGCTTTTGATAAGGTTCCACACAAACGTCTCCTCGCCAAAATGGAATCACTTGGAATCCGCGGCAATTTGCTCAGATGGACTGAATCTTGGCTCAAGGACAGAAAACAAAGAACAGTCCTAAATGGGACATGCTCTAATTGGAGTAAGGTTATCAGTGGTGTCCCACAAGGATCGGTCCTGGGTCCCTTACTGTTTGTGATTTTTATAAACGACATTGACAACTTTACTCGTAACATCTCAATCATGTTAAAATTCGCTGATGATACTATATTAAGAAATGTTGCATCTGGAGTAGGGGATTGTGAAAATTTGCAACAAACTATTAATGAACTACTAGTTTGGGCAGAGACTTGGTGCATGAAATTTAATACAGCAAAATGTAAAGTTCTCCATTTGGGACGAACCATCAGTCATCACATTTATAATATGAATGGAACTGATCTCATATCTATAAACAAAGAGAGATATTGGAGTCTTAATGAGTAATAGCCTCAAACCCTCTTTACAATGTACTCAGGCTGCTAACAGGGCATTTGCCATACTGAAACAAATAACAAGAACCTTCATGTACAGGGACAGGAAAGTGTTCCTTCTATTGTACAAACAGTTTGTTCGCTGCCATTTAGAATTTGCCATCCCGGCCTGGTCACCCTGGTTAATACAAGATATTGAAATCCTAGAACGAGTCCAGAAAAAAGTAGTTAATTTCATTGTTGGTCTTGGTAAAACTTATGAAGAAAAACTATCTGAGCTGAATTTGACCTCACTTGCTGATCGTCGAAAAAATTTTGACCTTGTACAAACTTTTAAGATTTTGAATGGTCATGATCGTGTAGATGCCTCAATTTTGTTTACAACAGTTGGAGACAGTGCTAATAGACTGACCAGAAACACTGCCTACAGTATGAACCTTGTTGCCACTAGATCAAGAACAGATATTAGAAAAAATTTCTTCTCTAATAGAGTAGTAAATCTCTGGAACAATCTACCTACAGATATAAAAGATTCCAGAAGAATAAAAATATTCAAGACAAGACTGGAAAACATTAATCTGTAACCCTATTTATGCCATCAGGATCAGTGTGGGCGAGACTACTTTTGGAGCTCTGATTCCGTGAGGAATAAACTGACATCTGCGCTATGGACCAAGAGGCCCTCTGCAGATTACTCTACAAGTGAACAAGTAAGTAAGTAAGTTTGGAAAAAAAATGTATTCTTGACTTTGTTTGTTGAATTACCTGGAAGACTCCTACCAGCTTCACCATTCTTAATTTTTAAACTCTGAAAACAAAAGATAAAACAATTAAATGCTTTTAATGGGCAATGATCTCTGTAAAATCAGTAAACAAGAAAAAATTTCTAAATTCGAAAATTAAAATTGCCAAGAAAATAACAAACTTATCGAACAAAAACTATCCACAATTTTTTTTTATACATTTTCGACATTTTTATATAAACAAAATAGGTTAATAAATAAACTAGTTAGCAATGTATAATGATGTAGAAAAGTATAGCAAAAAAAATAGCAATTGTAAAAAAATCTTTGTTCAGGCTTAAACAGTGTACAGATACAAACATCGTCCGGACATTAACAGTGTACGGACGCGGTTAATGTCCGGACGTAACGAAGATCTAGGCCCTGTTGTATTTGCCCCAGATGTGTAGCATGAACACACATGCAATGAACAGAAGAGACATCACTAGAACTGGAACTGGTCCAACCTGAACAAAAAAAAAATAATTTATTCTCAACTTTATGTCGGAACTTTCAGATAGTCGATCTTATGTTGACCTACAAACTAAATTTATTCCTTTTAAATACCTCTTAAAGTGCAGAGGCCAAAAAAAGTTACTTTCGTCTAATGAGAGATTATAAATATCTATCGTATAATTTTTGTTGGATTAAGAACTGAATCGCTTACTATTATAAGTTTCAGTATTATATTTGGAGTTCAGGCGTTGTAAATTAGCGATAAAAAGTGGTTGAAAGCGACGAATTAGTTATGAATTATAGTTATGAAATATTTTTTAAAATTAAAAAGCAGTTCTGTACGTTTCAGTAAAATATGAACATGGTCCTAGTTTGGTTCGACCACCCTCATCTTGATACAGTCATTTAATTTTATTCATCAAAGCAGAAAAAAATCTCAGTTCTGAATTTAATCATCCCATTACGACTGTTTTTAAACAAATCCCGAATCTATTTTTTCTTACTAGAATTACGTCATTCTTAATATAATTCGCCAAAAACTTTGTCATCAACAGGAGTTCATCCTTACTCGTTAATAGAGTATTGAATACTAGGCTTTTGGTCGCTTTGCGCCCATCTACTTTTTCAATCTTTAACTGTGGCTCTATCTGTGAGCATCTTCTCTTCGTACATAAATTAACAACAAACCATCAGTTCAGCCGTTTTAACATATATTTTATACAAAAGGACAGTCAAACAAAGTATATAAAGATATACTCCCGTAACTTACAGTACTTACTTTGACTCCTGGAGAATCGTCAGTATAGAACCTCCACATTCCTCCGCTGGAGGTTCCTCCGGCCCTCCCTCCGGTACTTCCGGCCGGAGCCTTGGAACCGGAAGTAGCTTTCCTCTGCCGTACTACACCTCCTCCTCCTGCACCACGCTCACGGGGAGAACCTAGATATCTAAGATACAATAGTTGCAATCGGTGATTGAGAAACCGGATCCACAATAATAAAGTATAGTGAATCCTTTCCGGATCCAGGTTTTTACAGACCGGATCCGGATTAAATTTAAATGGGGCACTGTTGGCAAGGATAGTATAAATAACTAGCTTGAGAACCCAACTTTGTCAAAGGAATTCAACGTTACTCCAGCCGTTTACCCGCGCTTAGTCATAAATAAAAATGTTATCTACTTTTCTCTTTAAAGTGGACCCACCCAACTCAGAATCTCAAATCCAAGCAAAGAACATTCCCGTAGTTGTACCAAGTTCTCCATTTAAATTTGAGGCAAATCGGTCGACGATTTCATAAATTATGATCAGACAACCAAACAAACAAACAGAGATCACAACTTTACAATTAGAAATTTTAGCAAAATCATTTATTGCTTGATTTTTTAACGGGCTGCTAGACGAACTGTGGCAACACTGACGAAATATAATTATTCTCTCTTTTTCTCTCTTTTATACAACCATGGATAAACGATTATAAACCTTCAATTTTTCAATCAATGAAGTATCGTAGATCAGGGGTCCATATAATTCCTTTTTCAATCCCATTTGCGATTGACAAATTTCAAAGAAAAGGGGGCAAATTTTTATTAAATGATAATTTAAAAAAAAATTGGGGGCATTTTTAATTAATTGGGGGCATTTTTTTAAATTGGGGGCAAATGTGTTAATGGAATTTGAAAATGTTTTTTAATAAGAGGCATTTTTTAATAATTGGGGGCAAATGTGTTAGTGGAATTTGAAAATTTATTTTAATTGGGGGTTAGGGTTAGGTTAAGACTATTTCTGGGCCGATCGCCGCGACTAGGACGGGCTAGGGGGCCGATCGCTGCGGTAGGGGACATGACTGGCTAGGTGGGCCGAGCACTACGGCTAGGACTGGCTATGGGCCGAGTGCCGCGACAAGCTAGGGGGCACAAGTGCTGAGGCCATCCCAAAAAAAAAAGCTTTAGAATCATAGTACAAGAGTAAGATGACAAAATAGTTTGAATTTATCTCAAGAAACAAAATAAATACTTTGCAAAATGAATTATTAAAAATAAATTCATTATATTCATTAACTTTTAATAGAAATTATTTCATGCCGATTGATTTAATAGGTTGAAACATTGATAATAGCTTAATTAATAAAAAATCCTGCGCTCGTCACTCTCTTTACACATTTGCCCCTAAACTAGCGCAATAGGTTTAAAATTGCCGCGTAAGGAATTTAAAATCAGAAGGATGACGATATTTGAAGGTTCATCAACCGAACTACAAAATTTTTATACAAACATATATATATACAGGGTGTCCCACGAAACATGACATTTAATAAATCGTTATTTTTTGTCAAAAAATCGTTTGCTTCAATATCTTTTACTTTGAAATCAAGTTTAATATAAAATGACTCCCATATAATATCTTCATTGATGTTTGGTATCAAACAACTTAACAAATTCTCGAAAAAGACATTCTAAACTATTCACCAACTGTCATGTTTACTTGAAAAAAAATCTCAGATGAACCAATTAGGCCAATTTTCCTAATTTCACACAACCTAAGTTCATATGAGTGTTTTCAAATAAAAAATATGCTTTATGTCAAATAGTTTAGTTGATAAGTAGTTCTGTTAGGAAAAAGCAAATTTATAAAAATTGACCGGGGCATTTTAAAATAATTGCGCTATTAAGCAAAATGTAAATAAATTGTGATAATGTCAAAGTTTTTATCATTAGTAGAAAGGACTATACTGCAAGGAAAGTTAATTGCGGTTGCGTATACTCTGTGTATACTCGGTCGTTAGAATAAATATTTCGTTTTTTACTTTAAATTTAGATCTATAAGTTTCAGACTTTTTAGGACTACAATGCGTTGGAAAGACTTCTTTTTAATCTCTTCATTCTACAGTGTTCTGCAAGTCTCTCAGGCAAGTAAAATCATTTTTGTTCATTAAGTTAAATGTTAATTACACAAGCTGTTGTCTTGAAGCTAATAATTACATGGACTGCTTAAACTGCTTAAAGTCTAGTTTAATCAAATTCTGGTATATTCCTAGAGAACGANGGGAGGCGAGGGGGAGGGGGTCCAAAAATCGTTCACTAGGACAGACCCCAAATTCTGTACTAGCTTGGGAAACCAGAGCTCAAAACTTAAGCCAGGGTACCGTTATGAAAACCAGTTTTAAAACCCAGGTTTTACGAATGGGGTTAAGCAGTTTAGTGGATATTAATATTTTTGTTTTGAAATATTTTTTGTTTAGTTTCTTCAGATTCTTCTTTTTTTCGAATCTCTTAAATCAATATCTACTAAATGTTAAACCCCAAAAAGGAAACTCCAGAGCTTTGTTCAACGATGAACGATTTTACCGGGAAACTGAAATTTCGCTTTTTAAGTCTACTTACTTTACTTAGAATCTAAAAACTAAGCTAAGAATATCCCCGTGGGCCTTTCGAGTTCCCCGATCTAAATTTGAGTCAAATCGATCCAGGGGTGACCGGACAAACAAACAGACAGACAGACAAACAGAGATTACAAGTTTATATATATAGATAGTGCAAAGCAACAATCTAAAGTATAAGTCGCTAAACAGTTTAAAAATATGCTGATTTAATTGTTTTAAGATTTAATTAAAAATGCCTATGAAGTTAGGGGAGGGGGAAATATACGACAACTCCTATACTTTGGTTTAACATGCGGGTGTTTAGGGTGTAGTTGGTGAGTATGGTCTGCTAGTGGTTGAACCCAACCAGGAGAATATTCCTTCTCAATCCTTCTGTCTTCTCTACTATCCTGATCTAGTTCAGATACCAGAGAATATATCTTTAGCGGAGAAGTTTCAGCTATCAAGTATCTTGGTAAGATTACTTCTGTTCTTTATTGGGATTGATTTTTAACCCCCCCCCCTCAACCCCTGCTTTTGAGATAATTTCTCCTCTCTTTGGTGTAATGATTTCCCCCCCCCCTCATTCCCATTTCTCAGCCTTTATAAAGACTTGCCTTCCTTGCTTTTTGAACCTCTCATAACTTGGGGGAATAAGTTTAAAGATTGAACACAGTCTTAGAAATAAGAAATAATGATTTCTGTACAAAATGTGGGTTGGGAGGCTTAATTGTTAACTTTTTACTGATATCCCTAAGTTATATATATAAACAGTTTCGGCTAGTTCCGTCTCCCTGCCTTAAAATGTAATTTCAACTAATGTTAATTATAAATATCCATTTTTACATGTATAGTTTGTGGCTAAATATATAAATATATAATTTGATATATAAAAGAGCCTATAAAGAAGTCAACGGTATTCGTCAGAAATCGCGAAAAAAAATTCTAATTTAGGAACTGTGCTGAGTTTCCTTTAAAATTTAAAAATTATAATTATCTTGACAATATATCAGGATTTAAACGGAACAAATGTATGCGACAATGGAGATGATCTGCAGGGCCTCGGCCTGGAAGGATCTTTCCCGATATTTTCGTCCAACCTGACGATTGGCAATTGTACATTGGCCGAGAAAGTTAAACGGATTCAAGAATATAAGGTAGAAGCAAAGAAAAGTTTAGCATTTATTTTCTAAATACAGCTAGTTTAATTTAGTGTAGGGAATAATTGATTGATGGTTTAAAAGTTTTAATTTTATTTATTTTTTGATTGAAGAGATGGTTTTTGATTGATTAATTTAAATATTAATTGGATGCCCGATTGTTTAATTAATTTAAAGGTTCTGGGAATGTTCTCTGAAGGCAACTATGGTCGAAAGTTTAACGCTTCCCTCTATAATATATCAGTTCCCTTCGGATCCTTAGTCGAGAAAACTGCCAGGGAGAAGATATTAACAATGCAGAAGAATTATCCAGATGCTCAGTTTTATATGTTCAGGTACACATAGTTCAGTTTTTACACCCCCTTTTTTATCAGGGTGGGTCGATTTTGGAACCTAGCTGATGGCCCTAGATTATACCTGCACCAAAATATTCTAAGAACTTCGCAAAAAAAAATTTAAAGATTATTTGGAAATCGGAAAAATTAAGTACTTCGAAAAAAATAAAAGATTTTTGGGAAATCGGAAAAATTAAGAATTTCACAAAAAAAAATTAAAAGATTTTTGGGAAATAATAGATTAAAAAATCGCTAGTTGGACCTAACAAAATATATGTTCAGTACATTTATTGTTGAAATGGTAATTTATCATGGTATTTTTCTCCTTTTCCCCAATAGTTTTGATTTAATAATGATGCAAATTTTGATCTATCTATTCTACCCTAGTTATATTATTGATGTTTAGTAATGATGTAAACTTTGATCTATCTACTGGTTATATTCTTGATATTTAGTAATTATGTAAACTTTGATCTATCTACTCTGGTTATATTCTTGATGTTTAGTAATGATGTAAACTTTGATCCATCTACCCTGGTTATATTCTTGATGTTTAGTAATGATGTAAACTTTGATCTATCTACCCTGGTTATATTCCTGATGGCTGTGAGCACTGTAACCATTGGCTCCCTTTGGTCTGGATATGCCAAACAGAATCTTAGAATTAGGTATTTTTAATTATTATACGATTCCCAACAGTACCCTTAAGACCGTCGTCTGTTCAATAATGTGGAAGATATTGTCGTTTTCTTTGCATTTAAAAATATCGTTTCCTGATATTTCTTAACTTGTTCAGACAAAGCTTTTTTGTGAACAAGGCATTGTCATCTTTGCATGGAGGGTTACTATAAATTACGCTTTCAGTACAGCCCCAGTCAAAATATCGGTGGAGTATTATTTTAAGCTTTAACTCTTCAAGGGGGAAAATTTTGGATCAAAAATGTTAAATCCTTTTTTGCACCAATGCAATTAAAGAAAATTTTGCAAATTAAAATCAACATCTGATATAATTACAGGAAAGAGACCGGGTTAGAGGGTGTTAACTCCAGGATGCGGGATGAGGAGGGAATAAAGTCCCAGGATGGAGGTGGAGGGGAGGAGGAGGAGATCTCAGTTCGTGTCTCCCCACTTCTCATCATGTTCTTTGTGTTCTGCATGTGCTCCATGCTGGTTCTTCTCTACTTCTTCTTCAACCAACTTGGTGAGAAGTAATTGTTGTTTTTGATGTTGTCATTTTTGTCAGTGTCAGTGTCAGTGTCAGTGTCAGTGTCAGTGTCAGTGTCAGCGTCAGCGTCAGCGTCAGCAGCGTCTATGTATTTGTCACTGTCATAGAATTTGTCACCGTTTTTGTCATTGAAAGCGTCACTGTAATTGTTACCATCATGTAATTATCACTGTTATTGTTTTTGTCACTGTTACTGTAATTGTCATTATCATTATTATTATTATTATTATTATTATTATTAACATCATCATTATCATTGCTATTATTTCTATAATTATTTTTATTCTTTTCTTTATAAACCTTAATAATGTTTATTGTTTAGTTTATGTGATAATGGCAATGTTCTGTATTGCCAGTAGTCTGGCAATGTATAGTTGCTTTGAACCTCTTGTTATGGCAACTTATGCTCTTCCCCTTCCAGTTCTCAGGAATATTCTCGTCAATATTTTAAATATCAGAAAGTAATTTGACATAAAAACAATAAAATATATGTTTATATATATATAAAGAAATATGATGTTCACAATTTTTGGTAATTTCCCAGTATATTTTCATTTTTATATTCTTTGTATCTAATTTGAAATAATTTGAAATGAAATCTGAAAAAGAGGCCCCCTTATGAACCCCCCGACCGCCGCCAGTCGCAGGAAGCACCGTCCCACCCCTGCTCTAACTGGCCCTTTATACCCAGAATAGTCCGTGTCCAATGTCCATTCATACATGGGGGGGGGGGGGCACTGTAAGGATTGAGACCAATTAACAAGTTTATCTTTTTCTTGATCTCAAAAATGACTTTTTTTCTATGAAAATAAATGAGTAATGTGAGTGTAGGTTACCCCGTATAAACCTCTACATCTGCAGATTAGATTTAGAGGTCAGTAGTTTTTAAAGATTTTTTAGAAAAGTCTTATTTTTCTATTATTTTCTGTCAGCAGACACAAACAGTCCCACCAAACATCACATTTAAGTGACATCTTAAAGAGATTGTTAGCAAAAAAATAAAAGAGGGTACAAGCTGATTCCGAATTAAACTTGGATTTGATCGCTACTAATTTTACTTAGTGTCTATAAGGAGGAGATCTATCAACAGATTTTGTTTTTATTAATACTGTTCAGATTAGACAACTGCTGTTGGCGTTAACATCTCTATCAACAGCTGTCATATATATTTTAGTGTTAAGCTATAAGACAACTGCTGCTTTTGTTGCTGATATCTCTATCAACAGCTGTTGTTTTTATTAATACTGTTAAGATTAGACAGCTGTTGTTATTTTTGATATCTCTGTCAACAGCTATTGTTTATATTAATACTGTTTATACTAGACAGTTGTTGTTGTTGTTAATATTTCTATCAACAGTATTTTTTATATTAATACTGTTTAGATTAGACAGCTGTTGTTGTTACTTATTATCTCTATCAACAGCTGTTGTTTACATTAATACTGTTTAGATTAGACAATTCTTATTGTTAATATCTTTGTCAACGGCTGTTGTTTATATTAATATCGTTTAGATTAGACAACTGCTGTTGTTATTGTTGATGTCTCTGTTAACAGCTGTTATTTATAGTAATACTGTTTAGATTATTCAGCTGTTGTTGTTGTTAATATCTCTGTCAACAGCTATTGTTTATATTGATAACGTTTAGATTATACAACTGTTGTTGTTGTTGTTGATGTCTATGTCAACAGCTGTTGTTTATATTAATAATGTTTAGATAAGACAGCTGTTGATGTTGTTAATATGTCAACAGCTGTTATTTTTATTAATATCTCTGACAACAGCTATTGTTTATATTAATGATGTTTAGATAAGACAGCTGTTGTTGTTGTTAATATCTCTGTCAACAGCTATTGTTTATATTAATACCGGTTAGATTATACAACTGCTGTTGTTGTTGTTGATGACTATGTCAACAGCTATTGTTTATATTAATGATGTTTAGATAAGACAGCTGTTGTTGTTGTTAATATCTCTGTCAACAGCTATTGTTTATATTAATACCGGTTAGATTATACAACTGCTGTTGTTGTTGTTGATGACTATGTCAACAGCTGTTTTTTATATTATTACTGTTTAGATTAGAAAACTGCGGTTGTTAATATCCCTGTGAATAGCTGTTGTTTATATTAATAATGTTTAGATAAGACAACTGTTGTTAATATCCCTGTCAACAGCTATTGTTTATATTAATAATGTTTAGATAATACAGCTGTTGTTGTTGTTAATATCCCTGTCAACAGCTATTATTAATAATGTTTAGATAAGACAGCTGTTGTTATTGTTAATATCTCTGTCAACAGCTATTTTTAATATTAATAATGTTTAGATAAGACAGCTGTTGTTGTTGTTAATATCTCTGTCAACAGCTATTGTTTATATTAATACTGTTTAGATAAGACAGCTGTTGTTGTTGTTAATATCTCTGACAACAGCTATTGTCTGGTTTATATTCCGAAAAACTGACTGGAGTTGGATTCTACAGGTTAAAATTTTGTTTGTTTTTATAAATCAAAGAGACTGTAGATATAATTCAAACTTTTTATAGAGGATGCACGTGTAATCCTTTTATTTTAAATTGATTATTTTTAAGTGTTTTTTTTTTACTGCGGTGATTGCGGATTTTTGTTACAGATATTGGTTTAAAAGGGAAAGACATGCCAATCTATTGAACTTACAAACAGTTGACAAAGGAACTATTATTTACAATTCTACTGTCTGTAATATCAAACATTTACTACGTCAGGTTACATAGATATTCAAATAAAAAAATTGGAGTTTGAGGTTCCTTTCTTTATCAGTGTTTTTTTTTTGAAGATTGATTAAAATAATAAGATATATTTTCTAGGATTTCCTTGGTATAATGTTCTCTATCAACATGCTCAAGGTAGGAACTAGAAATAACCAGAGTATCACTATCCATCATGAGATAGTTCAGATATTATTTTAAGAATGAAGTATTTAAAAGATTTTATCTGAAGGTTTTTAAAATAGAAGTTTACAGAGCTTTTGGGATGGAATTGGAGGGGGAGGGGTTAAATTCAAACTTGTGAGCTTTTAATTGTTTTGATACTTTTTCTGAAAACATTTGTCTAATTTTTCTTACAGCCCTTCATTTGCCATCCAAAAGTCGAGATGTTACGATACGAAAAATCTGAGAGCTATAGATAACCGTACACTTTACACTGTACAGGTACTGCGTCTGCCTAGCTTGAAGATCTGTACATGCCTGCTCTCCGCTCTGTTCTTCTACGACATCTTCTTCGTTTTCATCACGCCTCTCTTCATGAAGGACGGAAAGAGTGTCATGGTCGAGGTAGACAACAAGTACCTCACTGGGCTGAAAGGGGAAGTCGATTGGTCATTCTTTATCAAGTCAGCCACCCCATGGAAATAGGAAATCAATGTCATGGATTTGCTTCAGAATTTGCACACAGCTAGCATATTATAAGAATTTCAAGAAAACATCAAATCCTTAGACTCCTGTGACCTTTGGTTACTGAGTTATAGCCTACTGCAGTTGCGGCCTCGAGACAATTTTCTTTGACTTCTATGATTTCCAAAAACTGTTTGAATTCGTAAAGAATGACCCCGATGTATTTTAAAGTGAACTCTATTTTAAGAGTTACATACTTGATTCACAACGTTACCCTTTAAACTTTTATCTAAAGAAGAATGAGGAAGACTTTGTTCATTTTTATTCTGTTAATTTACGTGTTTGTGCTGATTAATTCCGCAAATCAATTCGAAAGGAAATTCACAAAAAAAATATCAATTTTCATTTAGATAACAAGGTTATCAGATTTGCTTTGACTAGGGTTTAAAGTGTACTGTTGAGATTTTTAGATAAAAACAAGAAAACCTTTTAAATTTTTATTTTATGATTTGATTACTTAAGGTTGCAACAGGGCATTCTTCTGACGAACAGCTTCCCATGGTTCTACGAGTTCCACATCTTAATCATGATCCCTGCTATACCTATACTTACAGGTAACAGTCAGGGGCAAGGTAAAGCTTACAATGCTGGTTGAAAAATAAAATTAGCTTAACCAGAAGCCACTATGCCACTATTTATGATTATTTTTAAAGAAAAAATCTCACAAGCAGGGGTGTATCCAATATCATTTGTATATTTTGCCAAAAAATATAAATTCTCCCCCATTTTTTGAATATTTTTTTAGGGTTTTTTTCGCTGAATTATGAAAATAATTGCTTTGATGTCGAATTATTAATTTTTTCCCCAAAAACTATCAAAAATCATATTAGCCCCTCCCCCTCCCTCCCAGTGGTGAGGTAGTTCGGAAAATATACACCCCTGTCTTTAAGTCGAGTCTTACTTTGAAGTTGAAGCTGAGTCTTACAGATTTAAGACTCGAGACAACGCTTTTAAATCGTATCCTCAGAATTATTTGTTTAGTTTGCTTGGATTCGGAGATATTCTTGTTCCTGGACTTCTTCTAGCATTCTGCCACGGGTAATAATTACATCAATAATGATAAATAAAGGGGGGGGGGGTCCACAGTCCACACAACTCAGGAATAGATAGACAAGGGTTTTACCGTGTACTCTTTACAATAAACATAGACGGTGACTCATATCACTAAAATAAGTTGAATTTCAAGCCACATTTTTGCTTTAAATCAACATAAGGAATTACTTAAATTTCGTCTTACTATTCTATAATTGTATGAGGTCTACCGTTGGAAAAAAACAAGTTACGTCTTTCCTAGAAGTTTTAGCAGATCCTAATCCTTATCCTTAATTTTACCTTTATTGATCTTGATCTGTTTCCCGACCAAACTAAGATCTTGACCCTGATCTTGATTTGTATCCGGATCATTATCTTGATCTTTAATCCTGATAACGATCTTGATTAATTATGAGGTTTATCTTATCTAAATCCTAAACTTGATCTTTATCCAAATCCTGATCTTCATCCTCAACTTGTTTTTGTTCTTCGTCATTATCCTGATCATGATCTTGATATATATTTTCTAGGTTTGATCTGATGATTGGTACTCCGTGTAAGATCTACTGGGTATTGAGCTGCATCTGCTACACACTGGGTCTAGTTGCTACATTCATCTCTCTATTCCTCATTCTGTTCCTTTCCCCATCCAGAAACACCTACCCCTAAGTTGATTCATTACTTCTAGCTAGGCTGTTCTGTACTTCATCACATAATCTATATGTGCACATTTTTTTTATCATGAGACTGTTCTAAAACTAGAATCCTTGTTTATTAATAGGCTCTGCTTTACTTGGTTCCGTTTACCCTGATCCCTATAATCCTTGTTGCCTGGTGCAGAGGGGAACTAGACAGTATGTGGCAGGGAGATGCACAGGTACATAATATACTAGTGTACAGGTACATAATATACTAGTATACTGGTACATAATATAGTAGTGTACAGGTACATAATATACTAGTGTACAGGTACATAATATACTAGTATACCCCCTGAGCGAATTTAGGGGTGGGTGTACCCCCCCCCCTTGATTTTACTCCGCAGTCTTTTGACCTGGAATAGGTCATCTATGACCACTGGCAGGTTGGTCAAGCTGGAAAGAAGGGCGATGCACCCAAAGAGGCTTGCCTCAATTTAGGACAACATTGTTTTAAAGTTTTAAATGCCTTTATTTCAAGCGGCCCAAGAAAACCAAATTATCGTAGATTGGAAGAAGGGAGGGTTCTTGAATTTTTTTTAACAATAATTCCTTTTTTACTAACAGCCTTATTATGGTAAACTTTCATTTTTAACTTTTTAAAAAAAAACATAGAAACTACGTGCAGTAGCCTGCAATAAAAATTAGCATGATTTAAGAAGCATGTATAATGTTCATGTATAAAGTTCAATCAATAACATTTTTTTAAATGTTATTAAGATAACTAAATAAATTATTTACCCTATATAGGCTAACTCTCTGCTTCAAACTGAAACCGCCCTTGCATAATATACTAATGAAGTGGTACATAATATACTAGTATTCAGGTACATAATATACTAGTGTATAGTTAAATAATATACTAGTGTACAGGACCAGTTATATAATATACTAGTGTACAGGACCAGGTATATAATATACTAGTGTACAGGACCAGGTATATAATATCCTAGTGTACAGGACCAGGTATATAATATACTAGTGTCATGACCAGGTACATAATATACTACTGAACAGGACCAGGTACATAATATACTAGTGTATAGGTAAATAATATACTAGTGTACAGGACCAGGTATATAATATACTAGTGTACAGGACCAGGTATATAATATACTAGTGTATAGGACCAGGTATATAATATCCTAGTGTACAGGACCAGGTATATAATATACTAGTGTCAGGACCAGGTACATAATATACTACTGAACAGGACCAGGTACATAATATACTACTGTACCGGACCAGGTATATGATATGTGTACAGGCACATAATATACTACTATTTAGTTGAATATTTAAGTATTGTGTGGCATGAAGAATGAATAATGTATATTGTATATAAGCTTAGTTTAAACAGTTTTTTTAGTCTTTTTTTATTAATTGCATACTAGAAACCTCGCAATAGATTTTTCACCTATTTTGAAAATACGCTTCTTACCCTGATAAGGACTGCATGCAGAAAACACAGTTTTTACATGTAAATTACATGTAAAAATCATATTTTAACTACCTTGGGAACCCAGCTTTATCTGGATTTTACCTTATAAAAGTTAACTTAGACAACATTCCTGTAGATCTGCCGAATTCCCCAATCTTTTTACACAAGTCAGTCATGGGTTTATGAGTTATGAATGATCGAACAAACAAACAAACAAACAAACAGACAATCAAAGATTACTACTTATTGTATAGAAAACCTTGGCTTGACTAGTTTGATTTATTTTATCAACTTTATTATTAGGTTTTTATAATTTTACAGATACAAAGGGAATTTAAGCGAGCTGTTTTTGATTTGTTATTTGTTTGAATGATAATGTCTCGCACAACTTACATTTTATAACTGACAAAATAGATAAGTTGTAAAGCAAATATTTTTGAATGCCGGGTTATTTTTATCACTTGACCCTCAAGGACATCTCTGGACAGTAATATCGTCTGACTTGTGTGAGATTAAGTAATTTTTGTATTTTATAAAAGGTGAAAAATCCCTCAATTCAGAAAAATGTCTTCAAATCTCATTTTTTAAACCATTGCATGAGATATTTTTTTTATTTTATCCCTAGATTTAGCTTTTGTTTAAATGTTTGAATACAAGGTAACTAGTCTGACAGCTCCTAAATCCGGTCAGAGTGACCCTCAGCTTCTACAACACGACTACCTTCAGAGGTAAACCAGGTATACTTTAGGTAGTCCAGGTATACTTCAGGTAGCCCAGGTATACTTCAGGTAGTCCAGGTATACTTCAGGTAGCCCAGGTATACTTCAGGTAGTCCAGGTATACTTTAGGTAGCCCAGGTATACTTCAGGTAGTCCAGGTATACTTCAGGTAGTCCAGGTATACTTCAGGTAGTCCAGGTAAACTTCAGGTAGTCCAGGTATACTTCAGGTAGTCCATGTAAACTTCAGGTAGTCCATGTATACTTCAGGTAGTCAAGGTATACTTCAGGTAGTCCAGGTATACTTCAGGTAGTCCAGGTGTACTTCAGGTAGTCCAGGTATACTTCAGGTAGTCCAGGTATACTTCAGGTAGTCCAGGTATACTTTAGGTAGCCCAGGTATATTTTAGGTAGTCCAGGTATACTTTAGGTAGTCCAGGTATACTTCAGGTAGTCCAGGTATACTTCAGGTAGTCCAGGTATTCTTCAGGTAGTCCAGGTATACTTCAGGTATACTACAAGTATACTTCAGGTAGTCCAGGTATACTTCAGGTATACTACAGGTATCGCAGGTATGAATGCACCCCATTGTATAAACAATTTTTTAGATGTTTTTTCGTTCCTTTGTTTTGTTTGTTTTTGATATTTTTTTTGTGCACACAATCATATTGTAATTGTTATTGTTTACATTTTTGGTGTTGTATAAGAGGATTACTTAAAGATATGTAATTTTACGTGACCTTCCATACATGTAGATGCATGTCCAATTCACACCGGTACCCTTAAAAGGGTTTCTGATGAAGAACGATATATCCAGGATTTATCTTTAAAACTGGTTATTTTCAATTGTGGTTTCTAGAACTGCCAATGCTATAAAACTCTATTCTGTTAATGTTTGCTTTTATTAAGCAATATCTTTATTCTAAAAAAAAGGAAAAACGATTTAAAAACGATCCAAAAAAAGTTCGTTGAAACACGTTTTTTAATCGTCTTTAGCTCGGTTTTAGCATATATTTTCCATGTCCAAATATTTGCCAAATGTTGGCATAAAACGAACCAAAAACGAACCAACTAAGTGCACATCACTAATTGGGACAAAAAATAAAGTTATTATGCGTTTATTTTTATTCTCTTCCCTGTTCAGACAGAGCATGAGGACGAATATGAGAATGTAGAGAGTGAGGACGAGGACGAACAGAAGGAAGATCCTCCCCAGCCTCAAATCAATTAAATGTTAATCGTCCGGATCAAAAAACGGCCAATAGGCTTCGTCCGGACCAAGAGAAGGCCATTAGTCTTCGTCCGGACCAAAAAACGGCCAAAAGGCTTCGTCCGAAACGTAAAATCGTAGACAATATGCATCATTTGGAGAAAAGAAAGGGCTAGCCGGCAATTTTAGGACCAATTTAATATTTACTCATTGTATTATAGTTTCAAGATCAATTCAACCATTTTATATCAACATAAATCGTCTTTGAACAACGCGGCATTCATTCGTATACATAAAAATACAAATATCATAATTAAGAAAACTAATGTCTAATATCCAGGGATTTTAAAAATGTCGTCTTGCTATTTTATACATTCAAAATTGATGCAGATATCATTATTTTATTTCATTGGGCCGTTTTAAAGATATAAGATTTCAGACCTCATTTCGTTGTTAAAACAAACTTTTAAAACATCGAAGACAGTTCATTATGCCTTTTATTTTTGGACCCCTCTGTACTTAATACAATAAGTATCAGCTTTAATTTTCTTAAAATTCATTTTAAAAAATTGTGTTGATAAAATTTTAGTAAAATCTGGGTTTCTATGTTTTATGACTTCTAGGTTTACAAAGAAAATTTAAAATTGAATTAATTTGATATTATTAAAGATCTTCAAGTATTCATGTTGTATTAATTATTAATCAATGTTTTCATACTTTATTAGATTATTTATGTTTAACATAAACTATTTATTATCCACTATATGTATATAACCGTATTCATTTATTCTCTCTTGTACACTGTACGATATGTTTATGTTAACATGTTAAATAACACAGGATAAGAATTCTGTTTAATGTACATCACTCGGTAGTCGGATATGGAACGTGTCCCCCGCCCCCACCCCCCCTATAATCTTTATGAGGAAATATGACATTTTTTTGAGAAATGTTTGACGGATCATGAGCAGTTGTTTTCCCCGCGTTTCGGGTAGTTACGTAAATACTTTTAAGGTTTTCTTAAATCAAGAAATTTTTTAATTCACTAATACACCCCCCCCCCTCTCATCGCTCTCTTTTTCTTTTTGTGACCATATATTTGAAAATTTGCACTTTTGAGTTTCTAGGTTTTTTTGAATTGTAGTTTAGTGTTTCAAATTACTATATTGTGTAATATTTTGTAATGTTGAAAAATATGTAATTTATATGTTTCTCCCTTTTTTAGAAATAAATTGGTTAAAAACATATTTGTAAGTACGAGGCCGGATGTAAATGTTGGTTAGGTTAGATGTAAGTAGTTTGTTTATCGAATTCACATTGCACATATTTTGTAGATCGAAGGCACGTGTTTTGTAGGTCAGATATCATATTTTGTAGGTCGGATAAACACAATTACTATTACTATTTATTATTACCCTCCCCTCCGTGTGAAAATAATAAGCTTTGGATATTAAAACAACATTTTTAAAAAGACAGTATACATTCAGTTCTCTGTGAAGTAACATTGAGTCTTGCTGTATATGGGGGGCTATACACCCCTGTACATATGAATAGAAGAAATAAAAAGGAACTACAAGAAACATTAAAGGCCTGCATTAATCTTTAAACGTTGTATTAAACTTGAGAATGGAGGTTTTTTACATAGCTGGATCCAGATTTTGCTATTGACAGCTTTAAATATACTCCTTAATAACAAGCCTGGTTAGCTGGTGTTAAGTATCCAAACTTGTCAAAAAGATGTTTACTCTTTTGATTGAATCTGGTTCTATGTGTAAGCGACAAGGAAACTCAGAACAGTCAGGTTCTTAAACAACTTTCTCCATTTTCTTGTTGCTGAACAGAACCCTGTGTGGAATAACATGGCAGTACACCCTACTTGGAAAAAGAAAGAATATAATAGTGCAGAGAGGAGGGGTTCTCTATGCTTCTCTTCCCCCTCCCTCTTGCCAGAAACAAGGAAAATGGAAACATAGAAAGTAGAATCCTGATAGGCTGTGCACTAAGATAACGGTTTATACTTTCTTATCCCATTTGTCATTATTAAGGCAGAATTCTGACAATAGATATTCTCAGAATTTTCAAATCCAGCTTAGTGTGACTTTTATTTTTTCAACCTGTAAGAATATTGAGGAAATTATGTTTGAACAGTTTTGAGTCAGACGTTACTGAAAACTAAAAATACAGCCAAGATATCAAATTAAAGAATAGTGTGAATCGGAAATATGTGTCAAAATGCATTTTCCCTTGTCGTACAAGAGACAAGAATAAATTATTCCAAAAAACAAACAATTTTTTCGGAAATTGAAATTGCCAACTGGAAATATATTAAATACAAACTATGACTGAAAAGTACATGAAATCTATTGCTGACAGGATCAGATCGAACACCACATCCCATTCAACACTACTATGGTCAGCAGCTCCTAGCTCTTCATGGCATATTACCCCTTTCACCCCATTAAACTCGAAAAAAACTCCATCACTTTCCTAAAATGATCATCCTAGGAAATATATTAATAGTGAAATCTTTTTAAAATCTCTAAAATACATCAAGATTGGTTTCAAAATATTCTTATGAATTCAGAAACTTTGAAACCGTAAAAATCTGTTGATACTTAAACAAAAGCCAAAATCCGGGTTTCCCCTAACAATTTTGAAAATATTGAAACAAAGACATGTGGATTTCATTCACCGGGTCCAGGCACATCTTTTGATAGCATTTGTCGTCAATTTTTGAAGAATTTTATTTTACTAGTGACCAAAGTGAATAAATATAAATAATATTTATTCACTTTGACTAGTGACTCTATGGGGTTTTTAAAATGCTAAATTTCAATTGCAGTCAACGAGCTTGACATTTTTATGGGCAAAATAGAGAGTGTGTCAAAATAAAAAAAGGTCAAAAAAGACCACCTTTTGGAGATATCAAAAATATTTATTTTCCATGTTTCATTTATTTGTGTTGAGTGTAAATGGTAGTGATACAATATAATTTACGCAGCTGCAGCAGTATTGTACGCATAGCTCTGAGCATATGGAAGATATGCGTAGTTGACGCTTGGAGTGAGCGCTGAATACTTGGCAACCTCCACAGCCTCAGGTGCAGCCTCAACTCCAACATTATGGACGGGGAGATTAGTGGCAGCTACACGGAATCCCATAGCATCAGAGATGTAGTTCACAGTCTGAATAAGACCATTAGCATCAACATAGCTATAGGTGCCTCGGGTGATGCCGTCAGCGGTTTTAATCTCAGACTTTGACTGGGTTGGGTTTGAATATCCATAGTTGTATTGTCCGAGTTCATCCTGAGCATGAAATTGTGTATTTACATCAGCTACAGGAGCAGTAGTTTCAACAATTACTGGAGCAGCATTATTAACTGTTGCAATGGGGATGGGAGCAGCAGAAACAACAGGTGCGTCTTGAACAGGTGCTGAGAGGGGTAGGTTATACTCATAGTTTGAAGCATATGGAAGGTAAGCATATTGTACAAGAGGAGAAAGTACATTGCTAGCATCCTGCTCTTTATCACCAGTGTAGGCAACAGCAACAGCAGGCTGAGCTTCAGCAACTGGAGCAGATGCCCCATCAATCACATGAACAGGAAGGTTGGTTGCGCCAACACGGAATCCAAGAGCATCAGCAATATAGTTAACCGTTTGTAGGAGACCATCAGAGTCTACGTAAGTATAGCTTCCTCTAACAACACCATCTGCTGTCTTCAGCTCCTGCTTCACAGAGTTTTCATCACTGTAACCATAATTGTACTGACCAAATTCATCTTGTACATGAAACTGGGAGCTTGAAGCATCTGCAATCTGAACTGGAGAAGCAGCAGGGGCAGCATTATAGACAACAGGAGCAGCTTGAACAGCAGGGTTGGCATAAATAACAGGAACAGTCTGAACAGCAGGGTAAGCATAAGCAGGTTGAGTAGCTTCAGGAATGTATTCCTCCTCTCCAGCGGCAGCCTCAACAGCAGCATAAGCCTGAGCATGCTGAATCTTAGCTGCTGCCACCTCTGGAGTATCTTCAGGCCCAGCACCATATGCTATTGGGAGATTTGTTCCAGCAACTCTAAAACCAGCATCATCAGCTATGTACTCGACTGTTTGGATTACTCCATTTCCATCTACATATCTGTAGCCACCTGTTACCACACCATCAGCTGTCTTGGACTCCTGGCGAACTGATCCAGTGTCACTGTATCCAAAACTGTACTGACCAAACTCATCCTGTGCATGGTACTGAGAAGAGATGGGAGCAGTCTCGGATTGAATTATAGGGATAGCGGCAGCAGGTTGGGAAGCATATGAAGTTTGCACTGATGGAGCTGCTTGGACAACTTGGACAGCTTGTGCAATAGGAGCAGCTTGAATAGCAGGAGCTGCTTGGATGTATTGAGTAGGAAGAGCATGATATCCATAGTTTGATGCATAGGGCAGGTAAGCATAGGACACTTGTGGGACAACTACAGGGGCAGCAGCTGCAGATACCACTGGAGCAGCTTCCTCTTCAGCAGCAGCTGTAGCTACAGGAGAAACTGCTACCTGTACAGGAGCAGCAGATCCTTCTACATCATGAACAGGTAAATTAGTAGCTGCAACTCTAAACCCCAAAGCATCAGAAATATAATTTGTAGTCTGGACTAATCCATTTGCATCAACATAGGTATAGGTTCTTTTCACAACCCCACCAGCAGTCTTGACTTCACTCTTAGACTGGTCAGCACTGTTGTATCCGTAGTTATACTGTCCAATCTCATCCTGAAATATGTACATTGTACATCAATTAACTAATCTAATCATTCTGAAATATCAACAATTCATTCTGAGATATGGAGATCAATTTGATTGATCATTTCAACAAATTGTCTAGAAATAAAGAGATAAATTTGATTAGTCAACTAAAAAATCATTCTGAAATATGGAAATCAATGGACGCAAAAACCCATGCATTAAAACTACAAGAACCTTGATGGTTGTCGTGTATTTCATGGTTAAGATGAATTTGTCTGCACTTTATGTCAATAATATTATTTCAATATTATTATGGCGTGCAATTCCTATGTCAAATAATCAAAGTTCTCAACATTTCTAGTTAATTATAAGAACCTGATCAAACACTGACTACTAGGACTACCAGCAGGTAGATAGTATGTATAGTCACTAGCATGGTTAACTACAGTCCTGAGCACTATACTGACTACTAGGACTACCAGCTGGTAGATAGTATGTATAGTCACTAGCATGGTTAACTACAGTACCTGAGCACTATACTGACTACTAGGACTACCAGCTGGTAGATAGTATGTATAGTCACTAGCATGGTTAACTACAGTACCTGAGCACTATACTGACTACTAGGACTACCAGCAGGTAGATAGTATACATAGTCACTAGCATGGTTAACTACAGTACCTGAGCACTATACTGACTACTAGGACTACCAGCAGGTAGATAGTATATATAGTCACTAGCATGGTTAACTACAGTCCTGAGCACTATACTGACTACTAGGACTACCAGCAGGTAGATAGTATATATAGTCACTAGCATGGTTAACTACAGTACCTGAGCATTATACTGACTACTAGGACTACCAGCAGGTAGATAGTATGTATAGTCACTAGCATGGTTAACTACAGTACCTGAGCATTATACTGACTACTAGGACTACCAGCAGGTAGATAGTATATATAGTCACTAGCATGGTTAACTACAGTACCTGAGCACTATACTGACTACTAGGACTACTAGAAGGTAGATAGTATACATAGTCACTAGCATGGTTAACTATAGTACCTGAGCACTATACTGACTACTAGGACTACCAGCAGGTAGATAGTATACATAGTCACTAGCATGGTTAACTACAGTACCTGAGCATTATACTGACTACTAGGACTACCAGCAGGTAGATAGTATGTATAGTCACTAGCATAAGCTGCTGGAGATGCTTCTGCTTCAGGGACAGGCACTGCCACTGATACACTCACCACTGTCACAAACACCTAAAATAATTTCAATAAACTCATATTTCTTGGACACTCTCAGAATAACTTTATCAGTCTTCGCTTAAAATCTGCATATTCTAAGATTGTCGAAAATAACTATGTGCAATCAATCTATTTTTCAAAATTGTAACATTATTATTTTTACAATGAAAATTATTTACACAACCTCTATTTTCTTCATATATTTAGTTTTCCTCTTTAACAATTTAATTTAGTATTTTTTCTATACCTTAGGAACAAATTACTATTAATGCTTGATAAAATATGGATGGATTAATTATATGCCTAAGATATATTAGATAATTAAAAATAATTAGGTATTGTGTGTCTCCAATGATGCATGAACATAGGCTTAGTATCTGTAAGACTGTAATGTGGTTTAGCTACAGACACAATCCCATGCTACAGCTGATTTATTTTTCTAAATGTCATTGTAATTTATACGCGCGGCATTCCAATTTGCTTGCGCACTCAGCTGGAAACTGTCATCTTATTTCTTTGTCCCAATGACGTAATTATTTTTCCAAAAGATGACAATTTGAAAAAATGCCCAATAAATTAAACTGTTAACAAGATTGTTTTAGAAATACTTTGTAGATGATAATTCAAGGCAATATATGAAAATCATGCAAGAAGTAGAGTGAAAATGTTTTTAGTCAGGCATTACTAGAGTTTGATTTCGTTTCAGACATATTCTAATGATTTAAAAAGTACAATCGTCTTCGTCTATATCAATACAAGGAAGACGACTTACTTTTTACTTTACATATTTACTAGCAAACTTGTAATCTTAAAAACGCTTTAAAGCGAAATTAGTAAATATTCGTAGTCATTATGTTGATAAAATCGCCGACCTCTCTACAATGACCAAAAAAATCATTAACTAATAAACTAATGTATTTAATTTATATATTATATAATACGGAAATTTATTAAATGATACGGAAATTTATTAAATAAGACAGAAATTTATTAAATAATACGGAAATTTATTAAATAATACGGAAATTTATTAAATAATACGAAAATGTATTAAATAATACGGAAATTTATTAAATAATACGGAAATTTATTAAATAATACGGAAGTTTATTAAATAATACGGAAATTATTAAATAAAACGGAAATTTATTAAATAGAACGGAAATTTATTAAATAATACTGAAATTTATTAGATAAAACGGAAATTTATTAAATAATCTCTAGCTGAGCAAGTTTAACAATGTGTGAAATCAGAGGAAATCCAAAGTTACACTATAAGTTGTTTGTAGCCTTAATTCTAAAGGTTAAATGATCCATCAAAATACCGATCACGAACCACGATGTTGTGACGTAATGACTCATGGTTTAGAATAAGCCTGGAGTAAAATATTTTCAGGTTTTCAAGTGAAACTATAATAGGTCCGGCTATACTGTAGGATTTGGAGCAGGTTTCAGACCTTATCAGTACTCTAGTACAGATTTAAACCAAGGAATTAACATTTCTCAACGGCAACAATTTAGAGAGACCAAAGAACGTTCAACTTAGCATGGTTAACTACAGTACCTGAGCACTATACTGACTACTAGGACTACCAGCAGGTAGATAGTATGTATAGTCACTAGCATGGTTAACTACAGTCCCTCCCCCACAATTCTCTCCCTCCATATTTTACTATTTCCCTGTAACCCCTTCAGTAAAATATAATTCTGGTTCTTTCGTAAATATTCAGATTTCCAATGAAATCATATTTCAACTAATTCCACGGCACAGAGCAATATACTATAGAAAGTATAAAACCCAGAACACAGTGGAAGAGTAAGACGACTGTTAGACTCAAGTTATTATGTCAAATAGAGTCCAATGACAGCAAATGTGATGTGTAAATAGACCCCAATCACACCGATAAAATTTGTCTGCTTTATTACATCATCAAATACACATTACAGTTACAGTTACACTACTTAAATATCATGTTCCTATTCCATAGTTCTATGGGTATCACTGTATAAGTGTTCTATCTGAGAAATTTACCAATGCCGCCGCTATCTTTCCCAGAGAGTAACTACTGTTTGATTTGAATTGCCAGAATTTATAATTCATTCCATTTTAAATATACAGTTAACAGGAAAAGTCATATCATGAAAATGAAGATTCACCGACACTCCTAAATCGTGTACGGTACTTTTACCTTAAATTTGTGAACGATTTCTTAAAAACAATTTGTTTTTAAAGTATACACATCGGAAAAACACTTTTCAGTTAACTAACTAGTTTAAAATCTTCGTTTCAAGTATTTTGAGTTCAAAGCGAAAACATGCCTTTAATCTTCGCGTTTAGAAAATGTTTTAGTCCGGCATATTTAAACCACTTGTTTATAAAGCTTTATATGGCCTTTAAACTTATTTTAGGCTGTTCAAAGAATACTTCTAGGGGTGTTTATCAGATTGTCTCATTGGTAAAAATGAAAATTTTGGAAGGATCCCCCAGTAAAAAAAACACGTTTATTTGAGAAAAAAAAATTTATGATGTGTGAAGGAAAAGCTAAAATTATTACATCTAAAGCTACCTATCTATTGACGACTGTAGAGAATTTACTCCGCTTTTTTCATTTATGGAATTCCCTTTAATCCAAAAATTATTGAATACACCATTAAAAGACAATTGTTTTAGATAAAAAATTACTAATTTTCATACTGGAAATAAAGTCTTATTATTTGTGGGTAGTATTTATGCTAATTTTAGACCTGTGTTAAAATTGTTGCTGAACCGCCGGTTAGTGCTAAAAATATCCATTATCTAGAACACTAGTCATACATATAACTGAACACTTTGATTATTTGTTACTGGATCGGTCAGGGTGAGAGGAAGAGGGTTATTTTGCCAAATTTAGCAAAATAATATCAGCACTGTGTTTAAAGTTATAATCCTTTAAATAAAATATAGCATTAAAGGGACTGGAAAATGACTTAAAGGGAGTGTTCGCGAGAAATCAAAGTGGGTATAGACTTACGGCGAAAAACAAACGCTTTTGATCACTACTAATCTTACTTCTATCTGTTGCGTCTATACGGAGAAAATTGTTAAAAACGACTTTTACTGAAGAACGTAGCGTCCATACAAAGTTGCATTAGAAGACGCGTATCATAAAATAATAAATTTTATTTCAAACAAATCATTCGGATATTACAACCTATAGACATATAAAACATTTTTCGACGCATTCATATAAAGTTAATAATTCACAATATTTGTTATTTATTTTATATACAATGCACTTAAAACGCCTTCTTTCCGCTAGGTGTCTCTGCCACGTGTTATCATTCAAAGCATCTCGAGAGCATTGCATACAAAACGAATATTAAAAATTAGTACTACATACGAATGTGTCGAAAAATAATCAGGTTGTAATATCTGAATGATTCGTTTGGAATTAAATTGATTTGTTTACGATTAAGATTAGTATCGATCAAAAGCGATTATTTTTCGTCATAAGCCAATACCCCCCTTTCATTTTTCGCGAACACTCCCTTTGAACAAAACCTACTTTTACAGAGATGCTTTTACAATTCACAATGATACCTTTAAACTTTTTTCTTAGAAAAATAATTTCTGACTTATCCATTATTTTCAATTGCAGTTCTCTATTAAAGTTACTTGCGGATTTATGCTTGAATTAAATCGTTCAGTAAGAATTATGCAAAATTTTATTTGTATTTTTTTAAGTCCAAATGCACAAACCTCCGGTGGGCGGTTGGATGATTTTATTTCTGTAAATTGGCTTAAATCTATTATGTGTATACTGTTTACTTCTAAACAAGATTTAAAACTGATTGTAAACTTTAATAAAATACATTTCTCTAATAAAAAGTTTTCAAAGCCCACGTTTTGTAAATCTGAATAACTTCTACTTCCATTTCCAGAGAAAAGGAAGTCAATCTTGCATTACAAAATGATGTACATTGGTGATAATAAACAGTATAATCTTAATCTGTAAGTAATTTTAAATGGTTTATCTAAACAGTTTAATCTTAATCTGTAAGTAATTTTAAATTTTAAATAATTTTGTAAGCAATTAAAAAATTTGTAACTTCAACTTTTTTTAATTTTCAGAGATAATCTATTTTTACATATACTGCAGTTTTCACTAAGTCTCCGACATTCGGAAAAGACACCCCCTACATCAGCCAGGGGGTAGAATTGAGTCTTTGGAACAAAATCAAATAGTTAAACCTCAATATCTTTAGAACCGGATGTTTTAAACCTTTGATATTTCAAACTCAGATTACTTGATCAAACATAATTCATAGTTTTTGAATATCTAAGGTCTGTAACATTTGGTTCCAAAGATTTAGTGATCAGAAAATCAGAGTTTGTGGCAAAGACTCAATTCCTTTATCAGTTTTATTCCCATGATTAGATATGATGATTATCAAATTATAATAATAATCCAATTCCTCCCGCACCCATTTTTTGTACATATTAAACAAAGGCTCACAATATTGCATATGGAGTATTACAAGTTGACGCCCAAATTTTGGATTTTAAGATTTTGACATTTTAAAGTTTTGAAATAATCGCTAAAAAGCCAACAAACCATATGTAATCAAAGTTATGGAATTATTCCGACTCGATATATTTTTGTATTGTGTAACTTATTATTTTTGTAATCTTAGTTTGGAGTTATTCCGACTTGATATATATATTTTGTATTGTGTAACTTTGATACAGTGACATTAAAAAAAATGTTATTATTATTATTGCTATTATTATTATTATTATTATTATTATTATTATTATTTTAAATACTGTACTTTCTTCTTCACCTTGTAGTTCATTAACATGATTTTAATAACACCTTTTTCCTCATTTATCATCATTATTAGGTTTAAAATTTACACTGTACAGTACTCACCAACAATGTATTTATTTACAATTCTCATTCGCTTATAATGGGCCAACCAATTAAAACAACTTACTCTGGTTAGGCGGGTCCAAACTACATAATAAATTGTGATTTTTATTTGTATCATCTCATGCTTTGTAACTGAATAAAAATATTTAAAAAATACAATATTTTCTTAATTACATTATATTCATTATTACACAATTTCCATGAACACATGATTTTCATAATTACATTAATTTTATAATCACATTATTTTCATAATTAAATTCTTTTCATATATACATTATTTTCATGAATATATTATTTTCCTAATTACATTATTTACAAGATTACATTATTTTCATAAATATATTATTTTCATGATTACATTATTTTCATAAATATATTATTTTCATGATTACATTATTTTCATAAATATATTATTTTCATAATCACATTTTTTTTATAATTACATTTATTCCAAATGACATTATTTTCCTAATTACATTATTTTCCTAATTACCTAATGACATTATTTTCCTAATTACATTATTTTCCTAATTACATTATTTTCCTAATTACATTCTTTTCCTAATTACATTATTTTCATAATTAAATCATTTTCCTATTTACATTATTTTCCTAATTACATTATTTTCCTAATTACATTATTTTCCTAATTACATAATTACATTATTTTCCTAATTACATTATTTTCCTAATTACATTATTTTCCTAATTACATTAATTTGCTAATTACATTATTTTCCTAATTACATTAATTTAATAATTACACTACTTTCCTAATTACATTATTTTCCTAATTACATTATTTTCCTAATTACATTAATTTGCTAATTACATTATTTTCCTAATTACATTAATTTAATAATTACATTATTTTCCTAATTACATTAATTTCATAATTACACTACTTTCCTAATTACATTATTTTCCTAATTACATTAATTTCCTAATTACATTATTTTCATAATTACATTAATTTAATAATTACATTATTTTCCTAATTACATTAATTTCATAATTACATTACTTTCCTAATTACATTATTTTTCTAATTACATTAATTTTCCTAATTACATTATGCTCTTCATTACATTATTTTTATAATTACATTATTTACATAAATAAATAATTTTTGTAAATAAATGTTGTTATCATTAGATATATTTATTTGAATATAGGATTTGAAAATAGACTAATTATTCACAATTCTACCTTTATATTCATAGCAAGTAAAAAAGTGAGACAACATTTTTCAGAAAATCGTGGAATTCTACAAAAAAAAAGACGAAAAGTGTCATAAAGTACAAGCTCATTGTTTAACAGAAAAATATAGATATTCTTGAAAAAGAAAGGCCGCGACCGAAAAATAAATCTTGGGTGGGATTAACACTTACATTACACTCATGTTGGACAACCCATGGGGCGAGGTTCGTCTTGTTTTTTATTTGAATTTAATCGAGTTTTAATTGGGTTTTAATGAACCAACTTTTAAACTTTTAAAGTTGTCAATCTTTACTTTTTCATTTTAAACGCATCCGCAGACAAAATGGTAGAAAAGAGAAAAAAATAAAAAAGGGTTTTTAATTAATTGCAGGGCAAAGGACCAAACTGTTACATCTGCGCATGCGCACCGGAAAAAAAAACATTTTTAAGAAAGTAAAGGAACTGAGTTTTTGTCGCAAACTCTACTTTTCTAAACTCTATATTTTTGCTACCGAATGTCGTAGACCTTTGATGTTTCAAACTATGAATT